CGGGTCTCGAAAACTCTTTGCCCTGGCTGGCTTTGAAACTTGATCCTCCTCATCTCTGCCTCCTGAGTAGCTAGGATTACAGGCGTGAGCCACTGGTGCCTGGCCTTGAGTTTTGTTCTTAAAAATAATTTCTGAAAGCATTTTTCAAATAAAAGTGTCATTCTTTGTTCCCATCTTCTGCTGTTACCCAGTATTTTTTTTTAGCTGAACACTGAATTTGAGGCAAGGTTAGTTTGGTTTTCAGATGATTGTAAAGTGGCTGGAACTGTTCAGACAAGGGCCACCACTGTACCACCTGCAGAAAGGCCTTGTCCACACAGGTGACCTCTGCAAAGAGCAGCAATGTCTACATATTTTAAAAACACAGCCTTTCATAGTACTTTTTATTGTAGTCACATCAAACCTTCATTTGCTGGAGGATTAAAAACAAGTCTGGAAAAAAAAAAGTCTGGGCGTGGAGCTCACTGTCAGAGCACCTGGTCTGTGCAAGAGCCCGGGTTCCATGACTCACGCACGCACACGAGTTATTTATTAGCAGCCCCTGAAGCTAACTCCTCCCATGGACCCCTCCAGGACCATCGCACTTCCCTAGGGTCTGGTTGAGATTTGGCTCCCGAGCCCAGGCGAAGGGCGTGAGAATGACGTCAGTACTAAGCTCACTGTGCCCCATGGCACAGTTGTCACAGCGAGTTACGGGGAGGCGTTCTGACAACTGCTACTTTTCATTCAGTGGGTCGGTTTGTCCCCTCTGACTTCAGCTGGGTGCAGGACTTCCTGAAAGCATTTCGGCAGGATGAAGGCCACGCTGGTGCTGGTGCTGGCCAGGTGACCGGGCCGCCCCCAGCCATTGGCCAGTTCCTCAGCAGGGCAACAGAACCCCTTCCTCGGCTACAAAACTGGGGAGGGTGAGGTGACCCAGGTGCAAGCCCCAGGGAGGGGAGCGGGCCTGCAGCCAAGCACAGAACAGCACTGCAGGGGCGGCACACCTGCTGGACGAATGGGGACAAAATGGATCCAGGAGGAACAGAACAAAGCAAGCTGCCTGCCAGTGGGCTGGCTCCTCAGTCAAGGCCACCTTCCTCGGCTGCTTTGTCACCCCAGCTGAGCCTGGCTCACCAGAAGGCTGGGCACTGAAGTCAACGCCTTGGGCTCTGTGGATATGTCAGCCGTGTCCAGTGGCTGTGTCCATGGCTGTGACCTTGCCAATGGTCACAGCAACCCCCACGTGATCACAGAACAAAAGCACGTTTTTATGGTCAAGTGGTTCAGTGACTACACCCAACAGTCCGTGGTCACTTTAAGCAAGCAGCACTAAGTGGTTTCAACAGCACAGAAGGAAGAGGGGACAAGCATGGTGCTGGCTCAGCTGGGGGGCAGGGGGACCCTGGCTCACTTTCAGTGCCATCACCTACCCCACCCCCACCGTCTGGTCAGCTCAGGAAGGTGCTGGGGACAGCCGCCCTTCCCCTAGGGGCTGTTTCTTTTAGGACCTGACCCCGTTCTGTAATTCACAAATTGCCCTCCATCTTGTGCCTCTGGCCTATCCCCGTGGCGAATTTGTTGGGACGCAGGTGTCATAGATGCTGAGGGGCTGCAGCGCCCGAGGCAGGTAACATTCCTGTGGGGCCCAGACGACCTTCCAAATCCACTGTGGTGGCCTTTGCTCTGAGGCTACTGCGTAGTCTAAGGCGAGAGAAAGCGCTTTCCTAAAAACCGTTCGGCTCAATTGTTTTGAAACTTATTTACTTATTTTTGTGGTACTGGGGTTCGAACTCAGGGCCTACTCCGTGAGCTACGCCACCAGCCCTTTTTTATGACGGATTATTTTACAGATAGGGTCTTGTGAACTATTTGCCCAGGGTGGCTTCCTCCTGATCTCTGCCTCCTGAGTAGCTAGGATTACAGGTGTGAGCCACTGGCATCCAGCTTGTTTCTGGGATTTAAAGAAAAAAAAAATTTTTTTTTTGGTGGAACTGGGTTTTGACCTCAAAGCTTCACACTTGCAAAGCAGGTGCTGTACCACTTGAGCCACACCTCCAGTCTCTTTTGCTCTGGTTATTTTGGAGATGGGGGTAGGGATCGCAGGAACTATTTGTCAGGGCTGGCCTCAAGATGTGATCTCCTGGATCTCAGCCTCCCATGCAGCTGGGATTACAGGTGTGAGCCACCAGTGCCTGACTCTTCAAGCTTTTATCTTCTACAGTGACAGGAAATCATGGATGCAACTCAGAATGCCTTAGCCGACCTATTTCCCCCACAGGCGGGGCAGGCGATGCACAGCAGAGGGTGCTCTGGGGAACCCCTACGGCCGATGGGGAAGCGAGGGGGAGGTTGAGCCGAGCCATGGTGTGTTGATGCCACTGTCGGGGCCTCAGCTAAGTTGTAAGGAGCTCAAGGTTGGGGGGTCCTCCGTGCCCCCAGTGGGGGCAGGGAGGGCTCTTGTCCTTCCTCATTGGCTGCGTGTGCACCCCGCCCTGCTCTGCTGTGAGGGACTCAGTTAGGGAGAGGGTCCTGGAAGTGGGCAGGGAAGGGACCGGGCACAGCACCAGGGACTCCACCCCCATCCCAATAATAATGAGACCTGAGACCTGCATTACTTTAAATTACTTATTTATTCTGTAATACATCTCACTCAGATCAGAAATCAATGCGGTACATTTGTTTTAGGCACAACTTCTACTCATTTCAGGTATTTTCTTTCTTTCCTCTTTTCAGTCTTACAGGAGGGACGACGAAGCATGACTCACACTTCGCAGTACACCAGACAAGCCCCCAGCGAGTGGACCTCGTATTAAATCCACAGCCTCCGCCACACGAAGCCCGTGGCCGGTGCACGGGAGCCAGAGGCACACAGCAATCCTCCACCTTGCTGCTGCAGAGGCTGAGGACCACCGTGAAGGAGTGTCCCCATTCTTACTGGAAGCCATTCGAAAAAACCCAGGAAGAATTAAGAATACAGAAATAGCTTTCTATATAAATTTCCATAAAAAATAATGGTATATTTACAGTTTGAGTGAATCTACAAAAACAACGTGCATATATGCAGGCTCGTGCTTCTGCGTGAGGCAAGTCGGACGTGGCGTCACTTACTTCTCTGCTTAAATTGCTTAAAGCGTGTGGCACCATGGTGTGTGTCCCTTTGTGCACAGGGAAGCACAACTGTTTTTCTGGAAACGAGACTACTACCACATGACCAGAGCATGTGCAAACGAAAAGGTGACCCACCTGGTGACCTCTGGTCAAGCTCAGGCGTGACCCCTGGAGGAACTCATTCCAGCCACCTCTGAGATAGGCAGGTGGGTGCCAGTGGTTTGCTTCTCCAGACACTGAAAGGCTGACCCGTGTCCGCAGTGACTGCAGGCCTTGGTATGATGTCTATGTCAGTGTGAACAAGGCCAATGACCGGCCAGGTCTTGTGCCATTAGATGACACCTGGCTCAGAAGCATGTTAAGTGACAACTGAGTTGGAAGTGAAGTATGGAGTGATGGCTTTGACTGTCTGGCCATGACCTGGGGACTTCCTCATACTGCAGCCACAGCAGTGCTCGGTGTGGGAGGGAGCTTTACCTAGCTGTGGAGGCCCCATGCTGCCACCACCCTCAGTACTTGGCACTTGGTGGCAGAGGATGGAAGGCAAATCCAAGCTGTTGGGGACTGGGGAAGGTGGTCTGTGGGAGGTGGAGGCCTTCACAGAGGCAGAGGCCACCAGGTTGGCAGCCTTGGGTAGAGAGGACCAAGTCTGCCCAGAGAAGGACAGGGGCCAAAACAGCTGTGAAATGGTAAAGCGGAGGCTGCAGAAGAAGGCAGCGAGGTCTCACCTTGTCTGAAAAGAGGACATGGACACACGACAGAGGGACATCCTCCCATTTCGACACTGGGGAAGGCCATCGGCCCTGTGTCAGTTCTGTACACGTCAGGCCTCCAGAGCCTAATCAGAAGGCTAAAGCTTTGGGTCATTTTCCCTTGGCATATGGTGACCACAGCTGGGGAGACAGATCCCACAGACTAAGCACGTTTGGTGGTACAAAGGAGCTATTTCCTGAGAATGTAACTTACGTGGGCACTTTAACTGAAAATTGTCTTATAAATCTTAAGCATCAGGCTTTTCCCTTTAAGTAACAGGGTTTGGCTTGAGTGCAGGGTGAACAGCATGCCGCCATCTGAACTTGGGAGCAGGAAGGCACATTGCTGGGGCACTCGAATGGCAGGCGGCAGGTCCCTCCCTGGCACACGGTGGCCTTCAAACTCCAACATAGTAAGCATCTGTGCCTGGGTACAGGAAAGTGGGGAGCCCAGCAGGGAAATGGGTGCTCAGGGAGTCCAGTCTTCAATTCACCAAAACCAGAGCACATGGAGGAGTCTAAAAACTCCTCTGTGCATAAAACGCCCCGCTGTGCACCAGCAACTTAGCAAACAAGTCCTCCCACAGAAGCACTCATAGGGAGAAAAGCTGCCAACGGCACTGCCTGAGCTTCTGGAATCTACTCTTGGCTTTGTGGGCACTGGTAGCTAAATTCGGTGTTCTTTTAAATACTTCTTTTTCAGGCTCAAACCCGCTCCACACCACTCACTAAGGGAGCAGTGTTCAGAATGGTGTCACAGATTTACTGAACAGAACAACCCCTTTTGCAGGGGGGGGAGCGTGAGAGTAAACAGGCCTTCAGAAGAATTATTTAAGTCAGCCTCTCGAGTGTGGTGATGGCAGGCAAAGCCAAGGCGGCACCTGCTAACTCGCCCAACATGCACACGGTGCCCGACCGTGCCAGGACCTAGGCCACTGGCCTTAAAGAGTCTTGATTTAGAAAGAACAAGTTTCAGGTGTCTGCAGACAGCTCCACTGCACAATCTGAAGGTACTACTCCTTTTTGAGGACAGACCTGGCATTATTTTTCAAGAATGGCAAAGTATCATTGTAACTGTGAATTTTGCTAAGGGGAAGTGTTCCCTTTTTCATCCTGGTAAAATAGCAGAAGCTACAGATCCCCCCCGCCCCCCCGCAAAACACATTTTAAAGAATCAAACTTCAAAGGACACATGGTGGCTCCATGCCTCGTTTACCCAGGCAGCAGGCACTGTGTAGAGGTGAGAGCCGCCATGACAGCTGACAGCCTCCTTTGCTCCGCTTTCCGCTACATGAATGGAGAGCACGGACGAGGGAGACGTCCAGTGAGTAGGGGTGAAAGGAAGCCTGGTGGGCACCAAGGGCCTGCACACTGCCATCACCCTGGTGGTGCCGCTCTTCCTGAGAGGGTCAAGTTTGCAGGCCGCACCAGCTGCGCACATGCTCAGTGGAGCAGGAACTTATGATGGTGCCACACAGACCGGGAAGCAGCCAAACAGACCCTCGAGGGGTGCAGGCTACTGAACTCCCAAAAAAGCAGAGCGTGACCAGCCTCCCACCCCAAGGGTGCTGTGCGTGTACATAGCCCTGTGAGCCACTCCACAAAAGCATGGGCGTTGTGACCAGTTTCCCCATTTTTTTTGGGCGGCACTGGTGCTTGAACTCAGGGCCTCAAGCTTGCCAGGCAGGGCTCTACTGCTTGAGCCACTCCCGCCAGCCCTTCTCCCATTTTTTCACTTTCATTTCTGCATGGAATTGTGACACAGCGAACGCTGGGCGCAGAGGAGATGTGGGAGACAAGTACAACTCGTCTCGACACCTCACCTGTGTCCTCCAGGTAAGCTTTGAGACCGGTAACATGTCCCAGTGACCACTGTCCGTCTGACAGACATCTCAGCTGTAAACCAAACACCGCCAAGGAATAGGGCTACTCCTGCCAACACCAGGCGGGGATGACTAAGACGGTCATGGTGAGGCACTACCACGTTTTATCCGCTTAAAGCACTATAACAGAAACAGAGGAAAGAGAAGGAACTTTTCTAAGAACTCCAGCAAGGATTTTGCTACTAGGTAAAGGAATGGGTATAATTCATGTCCTAAATTCTGAAATGTCTCTAGGGACCTGTGGCCTCTGCAGGTCCCTGCTGAGCCCCCTTCAAGTACAGACAAGGGTTGAGGCCAGAAAAGGAGGCAATGGCCCCTTTCAGGACGGTTGGGAAGGAAATCCCACTTTACCTGGTGTATGAGGCAACAGTTTTCCAGCAGGAAAAAAGCTCCCACAGTGGGCCTCAGAACCGCTGCAGCCTAGACCAGACTCTGACAACTCCCTCTAACAGCCTGAGAGATGTGCTTGAGAGCTCATGCCCAGAATTCCCTGAAATCTGTCACCTGCCTGCCCCTTGGACACTTGGCCTGCTCTATGGCTTCATCCTGACAGAATGACAGCTCTGTCCTCCGAGAAGCCCAAGCTGAATTTTTATGTTCATGTTTATGTTTATGGCCTTAATAAACAATTGAAGCCAGCCAAACCTGCCCATCCAGCTCACTGTGAGCAGGAAAGCATGTCGGGATAGAGCCTGCACCTGCCTAGAGACTCAGAGAAGAGCCAGTCTGGACCAGCTTGGTGCCAGGTCCATAGGCCAGACATACAGCTCAGGACAAACCCTGAGAACTGGGGTCAAGGTTTTACAGTTCATTCTGCCTCTCTGTGACTCTACGCTCCTTCCAAGGACTTGACCTGGATCTACGCTGGTGGTTCTGGTAGTGGATGTCCACTCAGTCCTCCATAAGAGGAGCAGCGCCAGGGACATGTCAGTGCAGCAACTCCAAGGACATCTTTGGCTTTGAAATCATGGGCTACACACTGCACTACTACTTATCCAGTCAACGGGGCTGTTCAAGGCTTTCCACAGGAACATGGAATATCAGATTAGTTTGAAATACAATTTACCCAGGAATAAATCTAATAAGGTCATTTTGATTAATTAAAATGTGAAAAAAGGTAACAATGTACAAGGAAACATTGCTGTTCATATTCTTGAAATCAACTTTTCTTTCAAGACAAAACTAATGACACATGGTTCATTTTCACAAACTGCACACTAGATCAGACAGTTATTGCAGAGAGCTGTGGGCAGGCAACTGGCCAAAGGAATTTGCTTGTTTCACTCTAAATGGAAAAGCTGTGTGAGGCACACACAGGTACAGCTTCCTTTCCTCTCAGCAGGACTCTGGATCTAGAATGCTGGCACATGGAAATGCTATGCTATCTTGGTTCTCAGAAGGAGCCCTAGGAAATTCCATGCACCAATGCACTAGCTAATCACGGCCATTCCAGTCTCGCTATAAATTATTCTAAATGTCACGTAAGGACGTAAGAGTTAGCACTTGCTCCTTCCTAGAAGCTATCTAAGGCAGCAGATGCGTAAAGCATCTCAACTAGGCTCCCAACTACTTCAGCAGCTAACCCATGCTCCCTCACCCCTCTGCCCACCCCCACTGGGCACGTTCCTGTTCACTGCCTGGGGAAAGGCAGCCCAGCATCCCTGCTGCTCCTTGGAGCAGTCTTGGTGCTACAATGATGACGTGGGTGTGGAGAAGGCAAAGGTCCCACTCATGGGAAATAAACGAGCTTCATCCACACCAGCAATTCTTCAGGGATTACTCCCCCTGCCTCCTCAGAACACATGCTTTGTTTGCGATGGGCTCTCCCACTCTGCTGGGCAGCTTTCATTCACGCTACATTAACTTTCACTTCAATCACCTTGGCCTTCGTGTAATTTGTGCTTCTCCAGTTTTCATGGAACACACAGTGCAAACAAAGGCAAGACTGAAGCAATCGTTTCAAAAACAAGAGCTCACACTAAGAACACACATGAGTATCTATGAAGGCGTGAGTTTTCTCCCGTCTTTATTCTGGGGAGGAGGACCCCTCGTCATCTTCCTCGTCTTCCTCGTTGAACGAGCAGGGGGTCTCGCCTCGGGACTCGGAGCAGTGGGAGGCCGCACTGCTGGACTGGTGACTGTTTGGGGCAAGGAGCTGCCCCGTTGCTAAGGCCACTTCAGCATCCAAGCTCAACCCCTGGTTTACACTGGCAAACAGTTAAAACAACAGGGTCATTAGTGCGGCACAGACACTTGGCTCAACACTGGCCTGAAACACTGGAAGGAGAAGCCGGGCGCCTTCTGCCACCAACTCGCAGGTGCAGCAGGCCTCAGTTCTCACTCTCCCCCACAGTCAGTACTTGGGGCTTTGCTTTGTTAACACCCTGAAACCATACCTACCTTGACTGTGGTGAGGTGGCACCGGTGGTCAGATCTGAACTTGAAACTGACTGGGTAGAGTTCAAAAGTAGTCCCTGATTTAACCAAGAAGGTCCTGTGGAGATATCTGACAGAAAAGAAAAACAGAATGCAGGCTCTGGAAACTCTGTGGCCACCACCACTGCAGTCTGAGCCCAAGCCCTTGTGAGTAACAGGGACACGACTCTCCTGCCTACCCCGGGAGGTGAAGGCTTCTTCACCTTCTTTCATAGAAGAAAAACTTCTATGCCACAAGAGCAGGGAGAAAGAATTAAAGTAAAACATCTGAGCCTCCTTTTTCTTAGATGAGACCCTGAGAAGGCAGCTCACCGGGCACAGTGGATACCCTTTGTCCCCACCCCAAAACACCTTGACTGTGGTGTTAACAGCCAAAGCCAAGAATGGGGAAAGAGGCAGGCAGATTAGAAGTATCTTTCATAAGGACATCCTGATTATGGAGCAGACAGACAGACGGACACATTTTTGCCAAAAACCCCCCAGCTGTTGCGTCTTTTTAAGCGCCTGCTAGTGAACCCGATGCTATTGCTCCTCAAAGATGGGTTCTTTTGTCTGACAAGTGTTTTCTTTGTGTCTTTTGCTTTGTAATTTAAACAAGCACTGACTTTCCAAAGGTTACTGTTTGTTCAGTTGTTTTTCTGAGACAGAGTCTCAGTACATAGTCCAGGCTGGCCTCAAACTTGTGACCCTCTTGCTTCAGCCTCCCAAGTGTGGGATTACATGTGTGTACCACCATGCCAGGCTCAAGTTTTCACGCAGCTATATTTTAATGGGAGTGAGGAAGACACTACTGTTTTAGTTTACAGAAAATAGTATGGGGACACCCTTGCAATCTCACTTTCTATGTGTATGCCATATTTCTCCTATTACAACACTGACCAATTCTACTGTAATTTTACTTGATTCTTACCTCCCTAACTAGAATGTGAGCTCAAAGGCAGGAACTGTAAGGAACAGGTAGTAGAAACATCAGAAATACACTTCTAAAAAGAAATGATCTTACTTACACCATAGGTAAGACCCAACCTCTCCACTCAGAAAATACAATTTGCCCAAATAGCTTTTATTTTAACTAATAAGATTTTTTAAAAGCTGGACACAGGAGTGCACACCTGAGGCAGGATGAGCATAAGTTCACAACCAGCCTGGGTTATACAGTGAATTTGAGGCCAACCTGGGCAATACAGAAAGACTCTTGTCTCAAAAAATAAAGAAGTAAAGGAACTGGTGAACTGGCTCAAGTTCACCTAGCAAGTGTGAGGCCCTGAGTTCAAACCCTAGTACTGAAAAAATTGTAATTACTGTGCAAAAAATTGGAGCTCTGTGTAGTAAGATTGGAATTTCTGGTATACGGCTACTTTCTAAGCAAATGAGAAGCTATTCTCATGTAGGAAATGAGTAAACTAAATGACTACATTAATTTTAGAGTGGCCTGTGAGCCTTTTTCTTCACAGGCTAAGGCAGCTGTGAAAAAAAAAAATTTAAAAAGGACTTCAATTCTGAGAATAGAGACTTTAAATACACTAAATAAGAACAGGTCTGTACAAGAAGAAAACAAAATTAAAGCCAGAATCCTGTGTTGCATATTAATTAACACAGGGGACTATGGAAACTTTCTGTTAGAACACAGCTATTTATTGCTTGTAAGCATAACAGACTCCATTTTCTTTTCACAATGGATCCGAAAAGCCTACATTTCTTTCACATGATCACAGGTCCCCACACAATAGTTCTCACACTCTTACCCAACAGCCACTCCATCCCTCGCCACACTAACGCCACACGTTTCCTCCTTTGAAGGACTAGAAAAACTGCATCCCAGACTGCAACAGGGTCAGGGAGAGATCAAAGCCAGAGCCCGCCTAATCGCCCCAGCCTTTCACTGGGAGTGAGCAAAAATAAAGTTCTGCTGATTTACTGAGTATGCCCTTTATTCAGACCCTGCCGGAGTCTCGTCTGACCAGGCTGCAAAAGAAGCATGGGACCTGTGCTGAGAGTGTGGGGAGAGGGAGCAGGTGGCAATCCAACAGGCTGGCCGGGGGAGGGATGCAGGGGTCGCTGAAGAGCAGATGCTGCCAACTGAAACATCAACCTCACTCAACAAACCTCTGAGGGGGCAAAGGGCGAAAGCAAATAAAATGAAATTGCCTTTCTGCTTACATTTCGTTTAATATGCCTTTTGTACGTATAACCAGCAATTCCATTCCTAGGCATATAGCCAATAGCTGAAAACATTTAAAAAAAAAAAAAAACCATCAAAATAAAAAAAAAAACTTACACAAGAATATTTAAAGTAGCATCATTTGAAATAGCTAAAACTAAATAATCCAAATGTTCACCAAATGATGAATGGACAAAACAAAATGTGGTACATCATCCAATAAAATATTTGTCAATAAAGAGGAATGATTACAGGACCTTAATTCAAAAATCCCAAACCTAAAATTTTCCAAAATCCCAAACTTTCTGAGCATTGACATAATGCCAAAAGTGGAAAAATGTGGGTAGGGGCCTGGCACAAGTGGTAGAAGGCCTTCATGGCAAGCACAGGCACTGAGTTCACATCCTGGTACTGCCAAAACAAACTGTCAACCTACCCCCAAAACAAAACACCCCACACCAACACAGCCTATGAAATCACTGCACGTACGGGGGGGCGTCTATGAAATGAAATGAAATTCTCTTTCTGACTTGGGTCTCAGGGGCTTGTGCACTGGCTAAAGCGGTAGAGCACCTGCCCAGCAAGGATGAGACCCTGAGTTCAAACCCCAGTACAGCAAAAAAAAGAAAACAACTCAGTTCTCAGCCATAAGATAATCTCATTAAGCAAATGCAAATATCCCACAAATCCAAAAATCTCCAGAATAGGAACTGGTCCTAAACATTTGAACAAGAGATACTTAACCTGTCCTCACAGCACGGATGAATGTGAAATACATTCTAATGAAAGAAGCAGCCATAATAAGCCATGCACTGTATGAAAAGCCATTTGCATGAAACATCCAGAAGAGGCAAACCCATGGTGACAGAAAGTGCACTGGTGGCTGCAGGAGGAGGCTGGGGCCCGGGCCATGGCATGGCATGGCATGGTGAGTGACACCACCAGGTGTGGAGTTTCTTCCATGCTCTGGAACGAGACAGTGGTGATGACTCTAACAAGCAACACTGAGCTGCACACTTGAACATTTTATGGTATGTGAATTAAACTTTTTTTTTTTTTTTAGCAAGGATTTATTTTAGTATAACAGGTTAAAGTGGGGGAGAAGTAGAAAAAAAATTGTAGAAATATTTGCTGCTCCCCATACGGGAAATGGGAGCAAAAGACTCAAGTGAATTAAAGCTTAATTTAAAAAAGTTACAATGATACTATTTCAGAACCACCTGACTGGGAAAACAGGACCCTTCTACTCTGCAGGTGAGAATATAAATTTGTAAAATTGAAAAGCTTTTGCCATCAAAATTTGCCTGAAGATGAGCTTCACTGACAATTCCAACCTGTTTGCACAGGGCACTGGTCTATACGGAGAGGAATGCTCTCAGATCCACTTATTTTCCTATCAAGAAATGAGGCAGAAAGGCTGTAGGATTGAAGTTTGTTTTTAAAAAAACAAACCCCGAACCAAACTAAGGGTTTATCATTAGTAAAATTAACAAATAAACTGATACAGTTATAAAGTAGAATTTTATACAGAAGTAAAAACACATGTATTAAAGCTGCATTAAATCACGTGGATGAATCTGAGAACCACGATGTTGAGCAAAACAAGACCAAATCACTAGAGAATCTATCACTATGACCTTATTTACAGAAAGGTCAGAAGTAGGCCAAACAACATAATTGTTTCTGGTTTATCACTTTGTTTTTATCTTTAAAGGCATGCAAATGAATGATAAACAAGAAATTTGCGAGTGGCCATTTAAATTTCAAGGGCTGGAAGGGCACACACACAGTGGGCTCTCCTAAGCCGGAGTGAAGTCACACACAGTGTCCACTGTGCTGTGACTCTTCACACAGTACATGCAGAAAGTCTTGTGTGTCCACTGGCTGTCCAGTCAAGACACGTAAGCCTGAGGGGAGGGAGAAGGAACAGGAAGTAACCATTGCCTTGAAAGTTCTTGTACAGAGGAACGGTGAATAGAAATATGAGCCCATCTGCCCTGTTCTACTGTTTTCTGATACTTCAACTTGTACTACATCCCTCCTCTCTGAATTCAATTTTAATTGGATGACATTTGCTATGTTAAGAATACACAGATAACAGATACAGAAAAGCACTACATGGCAGAGGGGTGGGGACAGCTACTTTCTTTTGTAAACTGCCCAAAGTTGCCTTTTTAGTGTTCAGAGGGCACAGAGAGGATTTTTAAAAACGCCATCAAGCTTTTATAAAAGCTTACTCTAATGAGAGGCCTGGGAATGACAGAGAAAATCAGTGGTGAGTCAACCAGTGTAGAACTACGTGGTGTATGTTGTACAGATGTAAAGTCACAATGTCGTAACAGCCACACCTAATCTAATTTTTGAAAAAAGTTCCTAAATTTACTATACACAATTTGATGAAACCAGATTTCCTAAAATTACACAGCTTTCTCTGAGAGAATCAGACATTTATCAATCAGGGACACAAGACACTGCCAGTTATCACACCTGTGACACGTGACACTGCCAGTTATCACACCTGTGACACGTGACAGTGCCAGTTATCACACCTGTGACACGTGACAGTGCCAGTTATCACACCTGTGATGTAGCCTTCTAAAGCCTTTGGCACCAGCGACTTAGCCAGCTGCAGGTCCTCCAGGGAACATTTGCCGGACTCCAGACCAAAGGACATTCCCATCCGCTTCAGCACTTCAATGTCGTCATGGATCTCAAAGGTGTTGTCAAAATTAAAAAGGTACTCAAACCTGTATAAGGAAATGAAGTAAGGATGGGGTTATTAGCAGAGCAATGAAGAGGAGTGAAGGATTGCACTCTATGCTGTATTTACTTACTTATTTCTGCAGGGCTGGGGATGAAATCCAGGGCTTTGCACGCTAGGCAAGTGTTCTCCCTTAAGCAACACCCCAGCCCTGCCTTTAAGTGACAGAAAGTGGCCCAAGTTCAGCTACTGTACCAGAAACTTACCTTTAGAGCAGAATCATTCTGTTGTGGTCTGTGTTTATGACATCTCAAATAAACTGCCTGTCCTATCAAAACAAGTTTTCTAAGGCAGACAACACTTTATAAACTTTAGCCCTAATGCTGTTGCAAACAGGAGATAGAAATTTTGTTCTAAATCCAACATTTCCCCAAGTTGTCTTCAGCCCTGCCCTAGAGAAAAGTCCCTCTGGGTTGGTATGCCATACTCCTATTGTAAGCTGGCTTATCAGCTTGTAGGAAAAACCCATTTTAAATGCTTACTTCACTGTCAAGAGTCAAGTGTTAGCCTCAGGACACATCAGTCAACCATAAATGGAAGACTTTTTTTGAGACTTGGTTGCGCTGTGTTACCCAAGCTGGTCTTGCATTCCTGAGCTCAAGGAATCTTCCTGTCTCAGCCTCTGAGTAGCTGGGTCTACAAGCACTCAGCCTGCCTGGCTTAAGAGGAAGACTTTTAACAAATTAAAGTGACACTAGCTCTGTCCAGAAGGGCTAAGGAGTGAAATGTCTTAAGAAAAAGTGTCACATATAATAAGTATATAGCACATTTCCAAATGTTCTTGAAAAGTGTCCAGGCTGGATGCCTAGCTGCCTAGCACATCAATCAAGAAGCAAATGTGAGAGAGATACAGTGGTGCACAGCTGTAACCCCAGTACTGAGGAGGCTGAGGCAGAAGGATGACTTTGAAACCAGTCTCAGCTTCAGTGGGATAGAGGCTAGCCTGGTTTATAAACCAAGATCCTGCCTGAAAAACAAAATAATAACAAAAAACAAAGGCTGGGGACACCACTCAAGTGGCAGAGCATCTGACCAGAATGTTGGTGAGCAGTCCTCCGGTCTCTGAGGTCAGGCCTCAGCTCTATGTGGACAGGCGTCAAAAGAAGTTTCTGTGACAATGGTGAGTTTTATCTCACCATGGAATTCTCTCAACTAAAATCATGTGAAGGTAAAACATGCTATGTTAGATCTTAGATCAGGGAAAACTTACCATTAAAAGTAAAAATGCTTTTTTATTTTGGTAGTACTGGGGCTTGAACTCAGGGCATTATGATTGCCATGCAGGTGAGCTACCACTCAAAATCAGACACACCCCAACCCAAAAATGCTATACTGAAATAATGTGAAGCATATGACTTTGAATAAAGTATACTAATGAGTTATTTAAAAAAAAAAAAAATCTGAAGCGGGTGCCTGCCAAAGGAATGACTTCAGGCATGTGGTAGAAGCAAATGGCTTTCAAACTTAATCCTCAGTGTGAGAAAGCCTCCTGGCTAATTACAGGGAAGATTGCTTCACCAAAGAACCAACAGCCAGGGGTGCAGACCTGCCTTGAGGACAAGTGCGGACAGGCTACTCCACACAGGGGCGCCAGGCAATGCATGAGTCAGTGACCACCCAGTGCATGGAGCCCTCCAGACCCCAGCCTGGGTGATTGGTACCCATAATCCTCTGGGCTTGCTAGCCAGGTGCTCTACCACTTGAGCCACACCCTGACCCTTTCGGCACTGGTTATTTTTGAGATAGGATCTCATGAACTTTTTGCCAGGCTGGCCTAGAACAGTGATCCTCCCCAATCTCTGCCTCTGGATTAACTAGGATTACATGCTTGAGCCCTTGTGCCCAGCTCCAATAGTTTTGAAAGTCTTTCTCACTGTTTTTCTTTTCCTGTCCCAGCACCTTGCACGGCCTGTGGAAGCTTGGGTCCAGGCACCACTGCACGCGGATCACAGGCAGTACAGTGCCTGTGGAAGGCGAGTGCTGGAGTTCACCCAGCTGCAAATGGCACCCATGCCTGTGCCCGCCCTGCCCCTGCTCACTTGTCACTAGAGATGCTGCAGTCGATGACAGTCTTTCTGCTGGTGTTGATGATGATGAATGGTAGCTGGATGGTGGAGTTCAGAGCTGGAGGGCCCTGGTTTTGCTGCTCATTCTGCCGATTTCTCTGTACCAGGTTCTTGAAAGCAATTTGCTGTAATAGTCAATAAAAAGAAGGTAGCCATTTAATGAGGTTAAGTGAGATGAGATTTAAATGAATTAATAGAGTAATTTAAAATATAGCTTCAAGTTCGAGCATTTAAAGAGGCAGCCCACCTATACTAACTGAACTAAAAAAATGAGCATTTAAGAAAAAAGATTAGAATAACTCACTTCAGTAAACATATTTGAAGGGAAATACACACTTCTACAGTGTCTAGCATGGTGAGTGATGAGCCTCAGGCTTCATCACCCACACAAACAGATCTCACAGACATAGGTGTAGGAAAGCACCCATTAGAGCAACAGGGCAGCAGTGACACCTTATAAGTGACCTTACGCTTTCATTTATCTCACACAGCCTCCTGAGAGTTTAGGGTCAAATACATCATTTAGGTCATCTAGCCCGGGGACATACAAGTGCTTTGAAGCCATAGAACCCTTTCTTCAAATAACATCTACTGGCACACTCACTACAGAAACAGATGCGAGCAGCAGTGCTCAGCTGGCTGCTGGTGGGGCTGGCATCCCCAGACCTGCATCTCTGCCCTCGCTCACTGCCACTGTGCATTCTAAGGCACAATGCAGAACTTTTCTGTGTAGGGCAAGAAGGGACAATTAGATACATGGAGTAGGGTATGTGAGTTATCTATAGGTGTAATGTACTCACGATTCCTTTCCTAAATTACCAAGGAGCAAATGGAGGTGTCATATAGGTAATGGTTGCCTGGGTCATATGACACAAGTGAGCTGGGACATTTATTTATTAAAAAAATCAAACTAGCTTAGTCACAGCAAACGATTAGTGTTCAGAGACAGCTTGTTTAATTTACTTTCTATGGGACGGATGTGGTACCTCATATCTATGATCCCACCTACTTGGGGGTAGAGATTGGGAAGATGTGAGCAGCCTCAGCAAAAAGTTAGCAAGACCCCATCTCAACAATCAAGCCAGGTATGGTGGTACACAGCTGTCATCCCAGGTATGAGGGAGGCACAGGTAATCATGGTCTGAGGTTGAACAAAAATGTAAGATCCTCCTTTAAAAATTGAGCCAGGCACTGGTGGCTTATGCCTAGCTATTCAGGAGGCAGAAATCAGGAGGATTATGGTTTGAAGCAAGCCAGGGCATGAGCCTATCTTGAAGAAAACCATACAAAAAAGGGCTGGTGGAGTGGCTCAAGGTGTAGATCCTGAGTTCAAACCCCAGTACTGCAAAAAAAAAAAAAAAAAAAAAAAAAGAAAGACTAAAACAAAGGAGGGCTGGGGGTGTGGCTGAAGTGGTAGAGCACCTACCTAGCAAGCATGAGGCCCTTGAATTTAAGCCTACTAGGTCGTGGTGAATGATCTTTTTGATGTGTTGTTGAATTCCGTTTGCCATTATTTTATTGAGGATTTTGCATCAATATTCATTAAGGACAAATGTCTTTATATATATTTGCTTTGGGGTTTTGTTTTGTTTCTCATATTCATGTAAAGATCAGGCAAGAGAAGAATTTGGTGCTGCCAGGATGGTCTTGATCATGAAGGAGGAAGGAGAGGAAGCAGGGAGGTAGAGGAGTAGCGCAGGTGGAAGAGAGGCAGCAGGAAGCCCAGAGGCCATGTTCCATCCCCATCCCTGTTTCTTACTTGCATGCTGCATTCATTTTTGTCTGGTTTTCACCCCGTGGCTGCCCCTGGAACAGGCATTTTATGTATTTTTTAGATTGGGTTTCCAAATAAGTTTTTTTGGAAGTGCATATTCTGCAGCTTTAAAAAGAGTTTGAAAGCTGACTACTTTACCCTGTGCTCCTCCCTGCGGAATCTGCCAGGAGCTGCTCCTCCCACCTCTACACTACCCTGTCCCTGGCTGCCTGTGTCTTCCCTGACCCTGCAGAGTTATCTGTCCATTGCCCACCAGCCCATGGTCTCTAAGCCCTGGGATGGGGCCATCCTGGAATTTCCTCAGAACCCTTTTGGAACTTGTGTCTGTTTCACACGTGTGTGTGTGTATGTGTGTGTGTGTTCCATCTCACCTCAATCAGAATGACTGCCATCAATAAAACAAGCAACAAATGCCAGGGAGGATGAAGACGGTGGTGAGGAAGGAACTCTCAACCACTAAAGTAGTATGGAGACTCCTCAAAAAATTAAAAACTAGCGCTGGCACATGACCCTGCTATACTGTTCTTGGGCATATACCCAAAGAAAGTTAGCGTACAGTAGAGACACATGGACACCCAGGTTCATTGAAGCAGTATTCACAATAACCAAGCTATGGATTCAGCCAGGTTCCCACCAGCAGACAAATGAATAAAGAAAATATGGTACATACATAGTGGAACATTAGTCTTGCATAAAAAAGAATGAACTTATGTCATTTGCAGGAAAATGGATGCAACTGGAGATGACTCAAGTGAAATAAACCAGAATGAGGAATTCTTAGCCAGAGCAATTAGGCAAGAAGAAGGAATAAAAGGAATACAAATAGGTAAAGAAACTGTCAAAATATCCCTATTTGCAGATGACATGATCCTATACGTTAAAGACCCAAAAAACTCTACTCAGAAGCTTCTAGACATCATCAATAGCTATAGCAAGGTAGCAGGATATAAAATCAATATAGAAAAATCATTAGCATTTCTATACACTAACAATGAGCAAACGGAAAAAGAATGTATGAAAACAATTCCATTTACAATAGCTTCAAAAAAATCAAATACCTAGGTGTAAACCTAACAAAAGATGTGAAAGAACTCTACAAGGAAAACTATACACTTCTGAAGAAAGAGATTGAGGAAGCCTATAGAAAGTGGAGAGATCTCCCATGCTCATGGATTGGTAGAATCAACATAGTAAAAATGTCAATACTCCCAAAAGTAATTTACATGTTTAATGCAATTCCCATCAAAATTCCAATGACATTCATTAAAGAGATCGGAAAAATCTACTACGAAATTTATATGGAAACACAAGAGGCCACGAATAGCCAAGGCAATACTCAGTCAAAAGAACAATGCTGGAGGTATCACGATAACTGACTTCAAACTATATTACAAAGCAATAACAATAAAAACAGCATGGTACTGGCACAAAAACAGACATGAAGACCAGTGGAACAGAATAGAGGACCCAGATATGAAGCCACACAACTATAACCAACTTGTCTTTGGCAAAGGAGCTAAAAATATACGATGGAGAAATAGCAGCCTCTTCAACAAAAACTGCTGGGAAAACTGGTTAGCAGTCTGCAAAAAACTGAAACTAGATCCATGTCTATCACCCTATACCAATATTAACTCAAAATGGATCAAGGATCTTAATATCAGACCCAAACTCTAAGTTGATACAGGAAAGAGTAGGAAATACTCTGGAAGTTAGTAGGTATAGGTAAGAACTTTCTCAATGAAACCCAGCAGCACAGCAACTAAGAGATAGCATAGATAAATGGGACTTCATAAAACTAAAAAGCTTCTGTTCATCAAAAGAAATGGTCTCTAAACTGAAGAGAACACCCACAGAGTGGGAGAAAATATTTGCCAGCTACACATCAGACAAAGGACTGATAACCAGAATATATAGGGAACTTAAAAAACTAAATTCTCCCAAAACTAATGAACCAATAAAGAAATGGGCAAGTGAACTAAACAGAACTTTCTCAAAAGAAGAAATTCAAATGGCCAAAAAAAACATGAAAAAATGCTCACCATCTCTAGCAATAAAGGAAATGCAAATTAAAACCACACTAAGATTCCACCTCACCCCTGTTAGAATAGCCATCATTAGCAACACCACCAACAACAGGTGTTGGCGAGGATGGGAAAAAGGAACCCTCTTACACTGTTGGTGGGAATGTAAACTAGTACAACCACTCTGGAAAAAAATTTGGAGGCTACTTAAAAAGCTAAACATTGATCTACCATTTGATCCAGCAATACCACTCTTGGGGATATACCCAAAAACTGTGACACAGGTTACTCCAGAGGCACCTGCACACCCATGTTTATTGCGGCACTATTCACAATAGCCAAGTTATGGAAACAGCCAAGATGCCCCACACTGACGAATGGATTAAGAAAATGTGGTATCTATACACAATGGAATTTTATGCAGCCATGAAGAAGAATGAAATGTTATCATTGCTGGTAAATGGATGGAATTGGAGAACATCATTCTGAGTGAGGTTAGCCTGGCCCAAAAGACCAAAAATCGTATGTTCTCCCTCATATTGGACATTAGATCAAGGGCAAACACAACAAGGGGATTGGACTTGATCAGCAATGATAAAAGCGAGAGCACACAAGGAGGGGTGAGGATAGGTAAGAACACCTAAAAAACAAGAATAGCTTTGTTGCCCTTAACGCAGAGGAAACTAAAGCAGAGATACCCTTAAAAGCAACTGAGGCCAATAGGAGAAGTGGACCAGGAACTACAGAAAAGGTAAGATCAAGAAGAATTAACCTAGAAGGTAACACACATGCACAGGAAATCAATGTGAGTCAACTCCCTGTATAGCTATCCTTATCTTAACTAGCAAGAACCCTTGGTCCTTCCTATTATTATAAGGGCAAAACAGTTTCTGCCAGGTATCGAGGGGGTGGGGAGGAGAGAGAGAGAGGATGGGGGATGGGTAAGGGAGGGGGTGGGGGAAGGGGGGAGAAATGACCCAAACATTGCATGCACATATTAAAAAAAAAAAAAGACATTTGAATTATTTCAGCATATCATATATTCTGGCTATTAGACAAAATATTATAGGAAAAAACCTGGTGTGGTATTTGGCAATTTATTGTTACATTTCTGAAAATCAGATTATATCAAAAATTAAATAGGAACTAGAGTGTTCAAATCAAAGTGAATTTTATGACTGATGGTAAAGGTTTTTTATATAAAGACATTTTCCTAAGAAAAGTAAGGAATAAAGGTTTTCTGTATGAAATTTATCTCATTAGACTGAAAATGGCCCATCTGTATTTCCTACCTGAAGTCAGTTTTTACACCAAGTGGAATTATTAAAAAAGAAAAGAAAAAAGGTCCATCCGGCCTCACGTGATTTTATGCAAGGGTTATATAGTACTTTAAAAAATGAGCCAAATTCTAGGCAATTATCTAAAATAGTATGAATAGAGAAATCTCTTTTTTTTTTTTTTGTTTTTTGTTTTTTGGTGTTACTGGGCTTTGAACTCAGGGCCTAAACCTTGAGCCACTCCACCAACCCTTTTTTGTGATGGGTTTTTTTCAGATAGGGTCTTGTGAACTATTTGCCTGAACTGGCTTTGAACCTCAATCCTCCTGATTTCTGCCTCCTGAGTAGCTAGGATTACAGGCCTGAGCCTGTGGCACCCAGCTTAAAAAAAATTTTTTTTAAACAGAAATGCATTTTAAGTTTTGTAACTTGTATAAATCTTACTAAACCATTTCATGTCACTCTTGTCTTTCACAGATAGAAGCATTACAGATGGATTTAATTATTTTACTTAAAGCACATATCTCAAATGTAACAAATAGGTTTACTATTTGACATTTCAAGTTAAGGATAAAATAAACAGTGAACACTACCCACCCCCTCAAATGTGTTCTGAGCAGGGATGAGCTCAAAAGGGAAGTGCTGCATAGTGAACAGCAGGAAGCTTGAACTGAGGGTGGGGAGGAGACACCTGAAAGGACAGACAGGAGAGGGAAGGTGGCCCGTGTGCTCCTAAAAGACACTACTCAAAGGTACCACAATTAGAAAAGTGATTCAAAAGGAGGCAGAAAAGACAGTCCAAGCAGGAAGGGAATGAAAAGACCCCAGCACGGTTACCTGCAGGAGCAGCTCTTGCAGCTGGGCACGCTTCTGCTTTATCCGCTCTATCCGCCTCTGCTTCTCTACCTTGAAAATGTAAGTTAGAAAGCTGTATGAATGTGTGCAGAGTACAGTGCACCACTCACTGCTCAGGCCCCTCTTCTGAGGTAGCAAGAATTTTTCTTAGAGAAATTCAACCTATTTTAACTGCTAAATAAAGCAAACCAAAACTTTCTGGGAAGACAGAGGTTGGGGGGTGAAAACTGTACCCATAGTCATCAAAAAAGAACAACCAGTCATGCACTGCACAATGATGAGTCTGTCAACAGGATGGCACATGGAGGACTGAGCTGCATGCTTACCACCGAGACACTCGCAGGACGCATCAGCACAGATCTGTGGTGATTCTGGTGTGCTGGCAGCACACTGGAGAAACCTACAGTGTAGTGCCTGTTACTTGGTAAAGACCACACATGATTATGCTGCTGCTTCATGTATTTAGGTGCTATACTTTTATCCTTATTTTATACTGTATTCCTACTTACAGAAAAGTTCACTGTACGGCAGGTAGCGTGGCTCAAGAGGTAGAGTGCCAGGCTACCAAGTGTGAAGGCCTAGGTTCAACCCCAGTACTGCCACAAAACAAAACAAAACAAAATCACCCCCAAAACCGCTTCACTGTAAAATAGTGCGCTTGCTACTATTTTACACATGTAAAATAGTGCCACACATCTCGTTTACCACGTCTTTTGATTACGTTGGGAGATCACACTGAGTGACTGCTCTGTGTCACTAGGTTTTCATAAGCACACTTTATGATACTCACACAACAGTGTGAGTGTTTTGGAATGTACCCCTGTGATTGACATGACCGTACTTGACATGCAGTACTTGTTGCTATTATGATTTAAGTTCTAATCCAAGTAATAGTCACCCTTAGTTTATGCTTACCCCATGTCACACTCAAGTAAGCGTTTTGCACAATGCGGTAAGTCCTGTTATCCATTTTGCATGCAGGGAATAGGTTTGTACTGCCCAGGTGACTCAGTTGACGAATGGCAAGAGCTAGGAGTGCACCCAGCTCATGTGCTTCCAGAGTTCCTGCTGTTAAGATTGTGCCCATCACCCCTCAAGACTGAGCCTTCTTGCTGAGGTTTCAGTTGCAGGGACTTTAAGATGAGCAGACCTGATAACTCAGGTTTTGCTTCCTCTGTACACTTCCTACTTGGAGTAGGAGGCACGCTTGGTAGACAGCTTCTCAGCTTCACGACAACGCCATTTCCTCAACCTTACAACTGCCTAGGTAGCTGAGGTTGGGATCTGAATTTCCTTGCACTTCAGGGCCTCACATCTCACTAGGTAAAGCCATTGGCATCTGGTAGTAACAATTATAGTTATTGGTTTGCATACAGCTCCAGCATCAGGTGCAACAGACCAAATCAAAATGGGAGTTACAGATGCTGGAGTTCCATGCCAAGTGGAATGTAAGTTGTTTATCTGAGAGACAGAAGAAAAAGGTCTGCTTGTTCAGACCTTTTCTTCCTATAAAAAGCCAACCTCCTCTGCTTAGCTTATCAGAACACCTGTTCTATATAAAATGAGGTATTACCCTATTCAAAAATCACACCTAAAAAACAAAAAACAAATGAAAATACACAAACAAAAAAGACAAAAAAAAAAAAAAAAAGAAATAACCAAAAATCACACCTAGTCTTTGTTCCCATTTCCCTCGTAACAGGAAAGTGTTTCTCTTTTTCTTGAACCCTCCCCACCTTGTCCATACTTTATCCTGTTATATTAAAATAAATCCTTGCCAAAACTTCCAGGAAAAAAAAATCACACCTAAAGCCAATTAAGATCTTTAAAACTGTACTTTTATCTTTTTTGAGAAAGGGTCTTGCTATGTACTCCAGACTGGCCTTGAACTTGTGATCTTGCTGCTTCTGCCTTCTAAGCACTGGGCTAATAACAGGTGTGTGTCACCATACCCGGCTTACTTTCATCTTTTTTTTTTTTTTTTGGTGGTACTGGGGTTAGAACTCAGGGTTTCATGCTTACTCCGCAGGAGCTATACTGTTAGAGCCACACCTTCAGCCCTTACTTTCATCTTTTGACAACCAAGTAAGGTAACTTTCTTGTCTACTCCAATATATTAGTTCCTGTTTACTCTTCTACTCTGGTCTGCTCTAGGAATTCTCATAAATAGTTCTAACCATCACCATACTTCGGCCCTAAATTACTTACGCTCACTGAAACATTCATGCTGGCCTGCTGGCCCCTCATCCAACCAGGTCAAGCTGTACCTAATTCTCTAACACAGCTCTCCAACCTCACTGTCACTGCTTAACTTGGACCTGGTCCAATTCCCCTTCTCTACTCCATTTCTTTCACCATCTAACTCTGTGTGTGTGTGTACTAAGATCCTCCTGCCTCTACATCCTGAGTACCTCGATTATAGGTGTGTGCCACCATGCCAGGCCTTATTTACCTGTTAACTCAATTCTCAACCCACTAATAGAATTATCCTTTAAATACACCCCTCAACCCTCCTCTTATAATTGTCAATAGCTTCCATTGTTTACAGACAAGGCTCACACTGTAGCACTTAATAATCTACCCCTTTCTCCATGCCTGCACCCTGGTGACACCCAGCTCCAAGCATGCCTTCTCATGCCTGTCTTGGGCCATGCACTGCCTCTGCCTGGAAGGCCTCCCCACCCTTATCCACCTGGCAAACTCCTACTCCTTCCTCATTACTGAGCTCAGGCATTATTTCTTTGGCAAAGTTCTCCCTTATCCCTCTTCTGAGAGAATTTATACATATTTCTTTATAGGAATAATCACATTTTTCGTCTCTTAATCTTCGGTACCTGGGATTGAACTCAGAATATCATGTATACTAGGTAAGAGCTCTACCACTGAGCTACACCCCCAACCCAGGGCAACTCTTTTTTACATTTTTTCTCTCCCCAATTATAATGACAGTTTCCTTGGGCTTTTATTTTGGGATCAGACTTTGGTCTGTCTAACCTGTGCTTAATGAGCTTTGGATATCAGCTTAATATCACTGATAACTGAAGTCTGAATTCCATTCTATTAAGAGGAAGAAGAGAGGGAAGACCTCCACTCTAGCACCTGAACAACATTACTCTCTAAGCTCTGATGCACATCTGTTTTCTCCTGACACAGACAAGTATAATAGCAAGTAACTTTTTATTTGCTGGGGGAGAGAAGGGTAAGAAGCCTGAGAAAAATATAAAACCAATCTTAATGTCTCCAAAAGCCATCGTTAACATCAAGTTGACTCCATTTTGACCAGGACAGTAAAATTATGTCACATCAAAGCATTTAGAAACAGTATGTCAGGGAACATGGTCATTAGGGAAGATTTCTAGAATCTTCAAGTTAACAGAATTAAAAATGTTTTGCCCACATCAAAACTCATTTAACATTCTACTCGTTCTGATAAGACACAAATGAAATGGCATTCAGTTGCTCCAGCTCCTAAGAGTTAAAGATAAAAATCTAACTTTCATAATATACTTAGAATATTGTGCAGACATGGGAAATAGACAAATGCATCTATTATCTTTGCATCAAATAACTTAATCAAATAAGAGATTTTTATCACATGATTCATCAAAACTCGATGAACTACTGAGAATTAAATCAGAATGAAATAAAGTTCTCTAAGAAAAGGAAAAATCAACTCCAGTCGTTTAAATTTTAGGCCCTTCACGTTCATCATTTACAAGATAGACTGCAGACTATACCTCTAAAATCCCCCCAATCCTATAGTGCTTGAGAGAGCCCTGGAGAAGTAGAGCATACACAGGGGTCACTGGAGGAGCATTCCGCTCTGTGCCGTGGGCGCTCCTCACCTCCAGGTCCTGGCACTCCTGGGCCGAGTTGCTAGGCAGGCCGATCCACCTGATCTCCTTCTTCTCCTTGGAGATGATATTCATGGCCATGAGCACGTTCAGGGCATCGTAGACACGGCGCCGGATGTTCTTCTGTTCGTAAGCCTGCCAAAGCACTTGCATTGAGTGACCAAGTCTAAGGGCCGGGAGGCCGGGATAGTCACAGTCGGCAGACTGCATTATTAATGCTAGACAACATCAAAGTGCTGAGGGAGTTCTATGCCCAGTGAAACAGCCTTCAAACTAAAGATGAAATAAACACTTTCAAACAGTGTGAGCCATTAAATAATCTCAGAGATAAAGGTCACATTAACATTGAATTCCTATTCAAAACTACTGAAGGTCTTTTTCTGGTGGCAGAAAGGCCATTTGAGATGGAGCTTGCAGCTGTGGGTGAAATGAAGACGGCTCAAGAGGTAGCGCGCAGTCACAAGGAGTAGTGGAGGCAAAGTGCGCTAAGGCCTGCGACGCTTGGAAGCATTTGCACTTTAGAAAATCAAGGGTGCATGTTGGCTTTTTTAATTGCTAATTTTTCAGCAGTACTGAGGTTTGAACTCAGGGCCTTACGCTTGCTAGGCAGGCACTCTGCCACTTCAGCCACTCTGTCAGCCCTTTTTTGTGTTGGGTGTTTTCGAGGTACGGTCTTGGGAACTGTTTGCCCACCTGGCTTTGCAGTGGTCCTCCTGCTCTCTGCCTTCCAAGTACCTAGGATTACTGGTGTGAGCCTCTGAGGCCTGGTCAAGGATGTGCGTTTTTAGTCTAGGTAAAATTGTGCTTCTCACAGTGTTGTCACTGAGCCAATGATGACTGGCAAACTGTTTTCAGTCTACAGTGAGAGTAAGAACTTGCTCAGTTCAGTAGACCTTTTCCCTTTTTTATTTTTTCTCAAAATGAAGGAAATTGTGTTGCCATACTGTAGAGCTAGGTCCTTCCCATACTGGGGAGAAGTAATTCAGAGAACAACTTTCTCCCACCATAATTGACAGATACTGTCTATAGGTGATAAGAAATAAAATATTAAACATGCTACTTAAAGTTAAAAATATAGCCAACTGACCAACTACGGCTATAACCCTTCCAAATTACCAGAAAAACAGCACAATAGTGAACAAACGGAAAAAACCCAACCTGTTTATATCCAGGGGTGCTGAAGGAGGGTTAGTGAACATGTATGCATGCTAGATGTTGAAAGTGCTAAGGAGAAATGCCTCCTTGTAGTGACATTTGAATAAAGGTTAGCAAAGACAAAGAGAGAGATACCATATATATAGCAAAGAGTTCTGGGAAAGAGAAGAGCAAGTGGGATAGCCTGATGGGGCATGTGTGGCTGGAGGGGAAGAACTGGGGGAGTGCAGAGTCGATGAGGTGGGTGCTGAGGGCGTGACTAGGTGTGGCCAATGGTACAGCGCCTGCATAGCAAGTGCAAGGTTCTAAGTTCAGCCCCCAGTAACAAAAAAACCCAAAAAAAACAAAGTTCCAGAATATGTAAAGCATAATGTGAAAAAATAACAAAAACAGCGCCAGGAAAAAGAAGATAATATCAAATAAAAATCAAAATAACTGCATATCAGAAAACCAAAAAAGTTCTTTGGGAAATAATTCCAAATAATTTTCTTTCATCCTTTTTTTTGTTGGCAGGACTGGAGATTGAACTCAGAGCCTTGTGCTTGCTAGGTGGGTGCTCTACCACTTATTTGAGCCACACACCAGCCCTAAATTCCAAATAATTTTAACAATATGCATGAAACGGAAGATTTTCTAAAAGCAAAAATACCAAACTGACCCTAATGGAGACAGAACTTCTAAAAAAGATTAATTATAACAGAAAAAGTAATGGATAAAGCTATCTAATATCCATGCTCTCACCAAGGAGGCAGGACTAAGTAATTTATATAAAAACTTAGGGAAATGAAATTGACACTCAATGCTATTAAATCTGCCATAGAATGAAGAGAAAAGGAAAGAATGACTCTAAATTCATTTTATTTAAAAAAAAAAAAAAAAAGCTATCATAATGCAATTAACCAAATCTGAAAGATGGTTTAAAAAAATCTTTAAAAAACACCCATATAAAAGTTGTAAAGTTTCAGGAAATTACCCACAATTTGATTAAATTTAACATCTTTTTCTGGATGAAATCCAGACATTCTGACCTGTCCTGGGTTCAACTGCCAGGGGTAAGGGAGATTAAAGACATGTACTCACTGGGGTTAATTATTTGTTATTTGTGTGGAGTACGTATGATTACATTTCATAAAACATAAAACAGTGTAAACTGATCTGTACTGATAAAAAAGCAGACCAGTGGTTGCTTGGGGATGGAGGTGGGAGTGGGGGGCACTTTGAGGAGGCTCAAGAACATTTTGGGGGTCATGAAATGTTCTGTGGTGGTGAATTCACAGGTGCACATAACTATCAAAACTGACAGAATCTGGGGCTGGTAGAGTGACTCAAGTTGTAGAGTGCCTTCCTAGCAAGCACTGAGTTCAAATCCCTGAGTTCAAATCCCAGTACTACAAAAAAAAAAACCAAAAAATGGACAGAATTTTATACTTGAATACATTGACTGCATTCAACAATAAGTAGAGAAAAGGAATTGTGCATGTAGGACAAGTACATTTCCCTCTGTAATTTTATGTCAACTGAAAAAAATGACTCCACACCCCAAAAAAGGACAACTTGTAAGATACATTAAGAAAATAAAAGTTAAAATGCAGCATATGGGCTGAGTGCCGGTAGCTTACCCCTGTAAACTTAAGCTATTTGGGATCCTGAGGTTGGTCCCTCACCCCCAAGATGCCACAGCAAAATGGACTGGAGGTGTGGCTCAAGTGCGGAAGCCCTGAGCTCACACCACCTCAGTTCCACAATATTTTTGTTTCGTACAGCTGGATTTTTAACAAACATGTTCACACACCGTTTTTCTAATTAAAAGCAAGTGCTAGGTTGGTGGTGTGTACTTGTAATGTCACAACTTTGGAGGCTGAGCAAGGGGATCACGAGTTTAAGGAAGCTTGGCTACAAGGAAGTTTGACAAGACTCTCTCAAAAAAGTAAAAAAAAAATTTTTTTGTTGACGCAAGACACTGAAGAACACTATGGTTCAGAAACAGATATGAAGTCATAAGATAAGTGAATATATATACATATGCTGTTCCTTTAGTAACACCCAAAATCACATTTTAAAAACATTTTTATCTGTGTTTAATAAGCGAATTCTTTTCAAAACAACAACAAAAAACCCCCAACATAAAACATGAAACCCTAGTTTGTCTGATTCCTCAAGTCTGTGACAGACAACCCAAAGAGGCCAACCCACGTGACACTGGAGGTGTACCTACCGAGTCAGCGGGCAGGTGGTCATCTGAGCTGGTGAGCTCTGACACCAGCTCATCAGCGACCTCATTATATGACGTGGTGCCCTTCCGCTGAACTTTCTCACACACCTTCATTGAAAAATGCCTCAAGCCTTTTCCATTTTTATCTCCTTTTTTGCTTCGTTTACTAGAAGAGGAAAAAGTTACACTCCATTACATTTATTTGAGATTTCTTTCACAAAACTCTGTAAAATAATGCAAGAAGATAGTAAAATTTTATATCAAATGTTTTCAAACTTAATTTTTACCTAAAGAGACTAATTAATAAAGCATGGAGTGTTTCTATGCACATCATTAGTTTATTCAACAAACACTTATTGATGAATTGCTGTTATGTGCCAGATATTATTACAGATACTGGAAATAAATCAGTCAAAAAATGACAAAAAATGCTGACCGTCTACAGCTTATATTTTCTTTTCTTATGTGTATTATGCATACCAGTTTTTCTGAAATTACAACTATCACTACCCTCAATCTTATTTATTCAAAACTTTTTAAAAAAATTATTTATTTTATAGTGCAAGGATTGAACCCAGGGCCAGGGCCTCATGAATGCTAAGCTTGTCATGTGCCACAGAATGACATCTTTAGCCCTGATTCTTTTTTTCTTTTGATACTTGGTCTTGAACTTAAGGCCTTCACCTTGAGCTGCTCAACCAGCCCTTTTTTGTGATGGGTTTTTTGACATAGGGTCTTGTGAACTATTTGCCTAAGCTGGCTTCAAACCACCATCTTCCTGATCTCTATTTTCTGAGTAGCTAGAATTACAGGCATGAGCCACCAGTATGTGGCTTTATGTACCTCTTATTATACAGGCACCTTACCTCACAGGCTACTGTGAAATATGGGGAAACCACCACGGGATATGAGTTGCACAGTGAGGTACTCAGGCAGAACTTCTTACTGTAAAGTAGGTGAATTTATAGGGAGAAAGGCAGTGAAAGAAAGACCAGCTGAGAAGGTTTGAAATAGCCCAGGCAAGAAATGATGATTCCTAAAACTGGGGCAGAGGTGGGGCAGAGGTGGGGGCAGTGATGGGTCAGGAAAAAGGATGAAGTTGTAAAAAAATTAAAAGATTAGAAACAATAGAACTGGGGCTGGGGATATAGCTCAGTGATCAAGTGCTTGCCTAGCAGGTTAAGGCCCTAGGTTCAATCCCCAGTACTGTAAAAGTAAACAAACAAATTAAAAACTTCTAACAAAACAGTGGAACTAAGTATCTGATTTATGTGGAAGATAAGGAATGGGGAAATACAGAAGTCTGAATTTAAAAAAAAGTCTGAATTGAGATGTGCTGTAAATCTAAAATACATACCAAATTTCAAACTTACATGAGAACTAATGTAAAAAATTTCATTAATAGTTTTTATATTTATTGTGCATTAAGATATAATACTTTGGTTACACTGAATTAAATACAAGATAATACAGAATGAGTATTCCTTATCCAAAATGCTTGGGACCAGAAGTGTTTCAGATTTCAATTTTTTTGTATTTTGGAACATTTGTGTATATGTTATTAAGAATTTCGGTGATAGGCCCTAAGTCTAAACATGAAATTTATTTATATTTCATATACACATTATACACATAATCTAAAGTTAATTTTATATCATACTTTTAATAACTTAGTGCATTAAACAAAGCTGAGTGGAATTTTCCTCTTGTGGTATCTTGGTGGCAATTCAAAAAGTTCCAGACTTCAGAGAGTTTTGAATTTTTGGATTGGAGATGCCCAACCTGTATTAAATTAATTTCATGGGTTTTTCACTTTTTCTTTTCTGGGGGGAGCGGTGCTGGGGATTGAACTCAGGGCTTCATGCATTAGTCATAAATACTGTTAGTATTATTTAGGACTTTGAGCATATAATAATACAGAATAAAGTCAATGAGTAATTATATATTCCTTTCATTCCTATATCCTTAAAAACTAGGGCTCAGCATGGAAGGAAGGGGACTGAGATGTAATGAAGAAGTGGTTTAGTAAAATTCAAATTAGAACTATCAATATGGTCTCATGAAGTATGCCTTTGCGTGTATTTGTATCTTAGCTCTGTCAATTTAAAAGAACTAGAAAAAAACGGTCAACCTTTCAGCAATGAAGAATATTGCCAGTTGTGAATAAAAAAGTGATAGAATAATCTTAACTGCAATTCAAAATGAATTAATGGTTCCAGCGTTGAGTATCAGTGGTGTTTACATCACAAAAATAAAGCAAACTCAATGTGCTTGTAAATGGAAAAAAATATACATTTCTATACAAAGTCTATCTTATTTGCACTTGGAATTTGGTATATTTAGATACAGATGGCTAATCTACATTAATTTATATAATTAGTATCAGCTAAGCACAAAAGTAAAGAAAGAGTGAAAAGCAAAAGTGCAGAAGTTATTTTGAAAGAAATTTGTTATGTATGGGGCTTATGTTCACACTAAAAACTAGGTGATTGTTTATTAAAGTAAGTAAATTCGTCAACTCACTGGTTATATACTTTTTCAAAGCCAAGAATGAAGCAGGGTTGTTTTTCATCTAACCCTAAGTTTGCTTGTTTGTTTGTTTGTTTGTTTTCAGGTAGCATTAAGATAGTCATAGGGTAGTTGTGGCGGTCATTGGCTAATTTGCCCTCGGTAGTCTTATGGATTTAATGGAAGTATTTAAAGGAGGAAACTAAACAAGTCATTAAGTAGGACCAATTAAACTTTTAATAACTATCAAATGCTGATGGCCACACTCTTGAAATCCAGGTGCAAGCCTACACAAAGATGTTTTGTAAAATTAGTTCAGGGCATGACTTGAAAATAAACTCAAAGAAAACTGGTTAAGTATCAACACTGGGAAGCTCTTTATAAAGTATGCATTCTAAACAGCTTCTTCACTTAAGGACTGGGTCCCCAGTTCTCCTTCTAACCAACACAGACTGCTGTGAAGACTGAATGACATGGTCTGCCTAAAACATCTGGCACACCACAGGTGATTTCTTTAGGAGATGCCAGAATTTTCCTAAGCAATACAAAACTAAAGGACCTTATCAATAACAGCTGAATCAAGAAAGTAAATGTATTTGTTAGAAGGTCAAGAGAGCACCATTCCAAAAATATCTATGTACAGATTCAACAAGGGAGGCTATAAGACTCAACATGAAAACTAAGCAAACAAGGCTTCTAGTAAAAGACATTAAAAGGCAAAAGGCCATATAAAGAACTCCTATAACTCAAAAACAACAAAAAACCCAATTAAAAAATGGGCAAAGGATTTCAACAGTCATCTCCCCAAAGTATACAAATGGCTAGTCTGCACATAAGAGCACGCCCAGCATCACAATCATCAAGGAAATGTTAGTCAAACCACAATACTCAACCTAGAATGGTTACTATCAAAAGATTTAAAAAAATACAAAAAATCAGGCTCATACCTATAATCCTGGCTACTTGGGAGATGAGGAAAAAAAGAAAGAAAAGAGAAGGAGAGAGGATGGGACTAGAGGAGGGAGGGAGACAAGAAGTGTTAGCAAGCATGTGGAGGAACTGGACTCTTCCCACACTGTCGGTGGGAATGCAAAACAGTACAGTCACTCCAGGAAATAGCCTGGTAACTACTCAAAAGGCTGAGGAGAAAGTAACCATGTGACTGAGCAATTCCACTCCTACTTATATACCTAAGAGAAATGCAAACTTACATCCAGCTGGGGCTGGTACCTCCTGCCTATAATCCTAGCTACTCAGGAGGCTAAGATTAGGAGAATTGTGGTTTGAAGCCAGCCTAGGCAAATAGTTCATGAGACCCTACCTTGAAAAAACCCATCAGAAAAAAGCACTAGTGGAGTGGCTCAAGTGGTAGAGTTAACAAGCTGAGTTCAAACCTCACCTCGGTACTGCCAAAAAACCCCCATACAACTTGCATCCACAGAAAAACTGTTTAATAGTGTTCATACATGGCATCATTCCTAACAGCCTTAAAGTGGCAACAACCCAAAATATCCATCAACTAATGAGCAAATAAAACGGAAGGAAGTACCAATGTATGTCATCATATAGACAGATCTTAAAAACCTGGTATAGGAAAGTCAGTCACAAAGGACCACATATTGTATGTTTCCATTAGTGTGAACTATCCAAGTAGGCCAGTCTGTAGAGATGGAGAGTCAGTTAGTGGTTGCAGGGTTGGGAGTAATGAGGGACCGGGGAGTGGCCGTGCAGGGTTCCTTTGAAGGCTGTGAAGCGTGTTAAACCGGACTGTGGTAGTGACCGCTCAATTCTGCAATATGCTTAAAACCATTGAACTGAACATGGTCAGAGGGTGAACTGTAAGGTAAATGAATTGTAATCTCCATAAAGCAGTTTTTAAAAAGTCACTGACTTTAACGTGGTCTTCTACTGTACTAAATCGTCTCTCATCATGAGCTTAGATCAACACCAAATTGCTATCAAGGGTTCTGAACCTCCATTTCTCTTCTCCTTTTTTTGGCTTTTGGAGATAGGGTCTAGCAATGAAGCCCAGAGTGGCCTTGAACTCATGATCCTCCTACCTCAACCTCCCATGAACAGGTATTAACTAATTATTAGCAAAGTGTGGCCGGGCACAGGCCACTCTGGCTGTTACTGCTCAGAGTACCACGCCTTTTCCTTCTCTCTTGTTTTCTCAGTGCTGGGGACCATGCCTTGAGCCTTGCATTGCTGGGCAAGTGCTCTATCACTGAGTTATACCTTCATTCTATACAGTTAGAACCTTAGACTTTTCAAAAAATCAAGTTATAGGTAAATTGTATTTTAATTTGTCACTTCATTTACAGGTAGTAAAAGCAACATAAATGGTTTTATATGAAAGGGACACTGGATCAATGAAGTAAATGCATTCATTTAGACGGTCAAGAGAGCACCATTTGACGATGTCCAGAGCACTGCTCCAGACCTCTCCACAATTGCTGAGAGTTCACGTGGTCTGAGACCACAACAGCAGCCACACCTGGTAAGAAAAGCTCTTCCTTTCTTCCACAGTCTTCCGTCTTCTAGTGACTTAAAATACTGGCTGTTGTCTTTCCAGGTACTGCTTCCACCTCTTCCTAAGTTTTTAACTATAAAATTTATTGAAGTACAACACACATAAAGAAAGTTATGAGTCGTGCATGTGAAGTGCCCCTCTAACCTGCCTAAAGGATGCCCACAGCCATGACTTCTACACATCAGTTTTGTTTTTGAACTTCATCTGCTCTGTACTCCTCTGACTCAACATGCTGAGAGGCCACTAGTGCTTGTCCAGTGTGTCAACACACTGCCACTCTAATCCCGTCTCTGGATGGCCACTTGGTTTCTTTCTAGTTGCTGACTATCAGACTTTTTAATTTTGTAAATTTTTATTTAAAAAATTGATTTGTTTTTGGTGCCGTGACTCAGATTTGAACGAGGGAGGCTATTATGAATAGTGATTCAACCGATTTTCCTATAAAGGTTTTTGGTGGTTATGCACATGAATTTCTGTCCAGTATACACTTGGAATTGATAAGTAAGCAATAGGGTATACAGCTGTACAGCTTTAAGAGGTATGCCAACTCCCAAAAGGACTGTGCCAACTTCTAGTGCCATCAGTAGTGTACATGCATTCTAGATGCTTCGTGTCCTTGTCCTCTCATCAGTTGTTTTGTGGATACAAAGGGATTCTGTTCTCACGTGTACTTTTCTGATGGCTAGTGCTGGAATAAAGGGGTTCTGTAAATTCTTACAATGAACTTATATTCAGTAATGCTGCCAAATTCACTTTTCTCAGTCTATAGATTTTTTTTCTAGGCACACAATCACATCCCCAATAGCAGTGCCAATTTTCTTTCTTTAAATACTTTTGTAATGTCTTTTCTCTTTGTCACCAGGACCCTTCCCTTTCAAAACACACTAAAATTTAGCTATAGAATGAAAACACGATTAGCTCATCAGTCAAATAAAGGACCTAGTACAAAGCATCCTTTATCAATAAAAGCAAACTGAGAAATGAAAAAGAAATAAGAAAGTAAAGCTGCTAATACAAGATAGTTTGAAAAGCAGGTTATGTTAATTTCATTTGAAGATTTCCAAAGAATTGCTCCCAAAGAACACAAGAAAAGTATTTTTCTAGGGGCTTAACTAGAATCCATAAACTACTGTCTTTTCTATTTTCCCAATAACTTTTATCATTTACAAAAATAATAACTAAAATTTGCACTATAATCCAGTGAATTCAATGTAGCCTGGGTATAAGCTGCAATAAGCACATTCCATTTCAATAAGGAATTACATATAATACACAATTTTTTTTTTTTTTTGCAGTACTGGGGCTGAACCCAGGGCCTCTTGTCTACAAACGCTTGTGTTCTACCATTGAGCTACATCTCCAGCCACTGTATTTTTTTTTTAAAAGGGAGTCACCCAGATATTTAAATCAACAAAATAATCAGTTACATTTGCAAAATTAAACCTTGACTTAACCCAGCAAACAAATAAACAAAAAGATCACTTTCCTGAAAGGATGTATCTGGAATGTGTGATGGGGGAGGCTTCTTCCATAGGGATCTTTATCCTCTCCTCCTGATGACTACCCACATGTCCAAACTACTTAGATGCTAGTGATGTTACTACTTGTGTAATTAATACTTTCCTAACTTTGTATGTCTAAAACAAAACTTTCAATTTCTCCCTCAAACCTGTTATTAACCACAGTAAATATAAGTAGCATCCTACTATTCATGAAAAACAAAAAAAAAAAACCAAAATCTCTCAAGAGCCATCCTTCATTTTCCCTTCTCCTTCATGTAGCCTATTGACAAATCCACCAAAATTTATCCACAGTTTCCCCTCTCCACTGCCAAGCCGCAGCCCAGCACAGTAGCCTTCTCAGGGAATTCCCTGCTTTTGTGTTCTTTTCCTTAGAATTCATTATCTACTCAGAACCAGTGTAAATTAAGTCATGTCATTTCCCTGCTTAAAAGTTTCCTCAGAACAAAGCCCAAATCTTTTCCACAACCAAAAGGCCTTTAACGATCTGACCTCTGTCTGCTTCTATTCTCACAGCCTATCCCTCCTTGCTCTTCTCACTGGCTCCAGCTCACTGTGCTTCCCCCAACATCAAACTTGCTTCTCACTTACAGGCTTTCTATTTGGCATTCACTCGGCCCAGAATCCCCTACTCCTCCACCTGAGCCCTGGTTTCTTTGCATATGAGGATCTCAGAGAGACCTTTTCTAAGGTAGCCACTATCTTTCCAATACGTTCCACCATAAACCTTCTTCCTGTCTTGCATAGCATCTATTATAATCTAAAGTTCTCTTGTCGATAATTTCTTCCCCATATAATTTCCGAAAGGGCAGAGGCTTTTCTATCTTGCTTATTAACATTTCCAATGCCTAGAACACACCAACACTTTGCAAATATTCAAACTTAACTTATTGAATGAATGCTATGATAAATATCATATCATTATGATATGATATGAAGCAATATACAGGTTTTAAACTTTAAATTGTATTAGCTCATTATGAGTTACAAGTTTATTATACATAAATTGAGTTTTAGCCATATTTCATCAGAAAAGAAATGAATACTAAGATTAAATGAAGGGCCTAGAGGGGGAGGGCAGGAAGACTTAAGTGTGCCTAAAGAAAAATGGAATACCACTGTGCTAAATCTTATTGCTCACTTAGGACAGGGTTACAGAAAACACAAATAGAGCAATCTTTGTGGTCTGAGTGGGTGTGGGAATGAGATATTATAAAAAGTTGTATCAAAAATAAAAAGAGAATAAAAAGTACTACGAAAAAAGTAATTGAATTAAAGGCAGAGAAAACATGTCAAATCGGTGGCTATACAGGATAAGCATTCATAATTCCAACATCTGAAAGTTTTTCAGTTTTTTATTTTTGAGCTTAAGGATGCTTAACCATTAAAGTCTATGAAAATATCTAAAACTCCAATATGTGAAATAGTTCTGGTCCTAAGCATTTTAGATAAAGAATACTCAACTTGTCCCAATAAATTTACTACCACTTTTATACATGATTTTTAGAATTCTTTCTCTCCCTACCATTTGAGCCACACCTCCAGTCCATTTTGCTCTGCTTATTTTGGAGGTTGGGTCTCTTGAATGACTTGCCCATGCTGGCTTTGAACCGAGATCCACCAAATCTCAGCCTCCTAAGTAGCTAGCTTTACAGAATTGAGCCACTGGTACGTGTCTGGAGGTCTCTCTTATGAAGAAAAGTGAAGAGAATCTTGTTTATACTTTTGTAGTGTGTATGTAGCCTATGAATAGTTTCACAGACATGTGTGTGGGGCTAGGGATTTAACCCAGGGCCCCATGTGTGGTTTTTACATTTGGAAGGACTTGTACTGCTATCCTTTCAAAGATAAACATCAAGAAAGACTATTCTGAATTGACAAGAGAATTTTCCATTAAAGAGAAGAACATTCCAACAATCTCTGAGACAGTGAGTTTGATGTTGACATCATAGGGCAACATTAGTGGTACCTACTGTAGTGGCCTGTGTGAAATTTTGAACTTAGGTTCAAATAATGACTTTAAACTGAGTTTTCTTTTCTTCTTCTTTCTCTCTTTTTCCATTGCTGAGGATCGAACCCAGGGTTCATATATGATAGGCAAGTGCTCTATTACTTAGTTATACTCCTAGCCCCTAAATTGTCAGTTTTTAAACATAGAGTTAAATGACTTGATAAACATTTAACATTTTATTTAACAGACTACAAGTGATTCTGATGCAAAAGCAGAACAGAGAACCATTGTATTAATGCTCTGAGGAAAGGTGATACACACAATTCAGTGTTAAGAAGTAAGTTTACTACGGATCTGTAAGTATTTTCAAAAAAGCATAATTAAAAGCTTGGTCACATAAAAGGTACTGTGGAGTGTTCACTTTGGTAGAACAGTTCATCTTCCAGAAGGAGAGAAAAGGGCTAAACGACATGTTAACATCATGGGATATTTCTTCTGAAGTCATACAGTAGTATGAGCGAACTGGAATGTTCAGTGTAGAATGAAATAAGGGTAAAAAGTGAATGAAGTTATGTAAAGGGAAATGTCTCATTACTTAAACTCAAGTAGAGGGCATGGCGTGGCTGTTTAATCCCAGTACGGTGTGGGGGGGCGGGGAAACAACCTAAAGCAGAGTCTGCACATCACATCCCTCTATACACAATGGAATCCTAAACAAAATACTTAACAATATACTTACCTTTCTGAAAAGTCAGAGTCTATAAATTCTCTAGCCCGTTTTCTATCACTAAAAAGACAAGAAGACATAAATAGAGCTTTATTTCATGAATAATTTATCATCATTTGTCTAACGCTATACTGAATATATCCAAAGAATAAAGGTAACAGATATAAAAGACAGGTGCACAAAATAAAAACTTAATTTTTATCATGAGAACAAGACATTCCAACATAATAACTGTTTAGGGGGAAACAGGACTGCTTTAAAATGGGTTTTGACAAAACCATTCTTCCTTAACATAAGCGTATGCATGTATGTGTTAACATGGACATGGCTTAAAGCACTTACAGGATTGCTACTTCATTACTCACTTCTCCTTGAAGCAAGGACACTCTTACTCAACCAAGGTTTATTGTCCCACTTGCTAAAACTCACCAGTGCATTAAGCCACCAGATAAGCAACTTCTAGAGTAACAAAACCTCCAAGTGACAAAATGAGACTGAGTTATTTATCTTGATATGTCCGAATTTTACAGGCAAAGATGAAACATGTGAGCATCGGAACTAAACGAGTGACGCACAAGGGGTATAAATTTCATTGCCTAGTATTTACAAAGAATCAAGAGAATTTTAATGAATTTGGCCTCTTTTTCCTAGTTGCTTTTCTGCCTTTTTTTTTTCTTCAGGCCAGACTAGGGTTTGAATTCAGGGCTTCATGCTTGCTAAGCAGGCACTCTACCACTTGAGCCACTCCTCTAGCTCTGGTTATTTTGCTGGTTTTTTGCTCTGGTTATTTTGGAGATGGGGTCTCTTGAACTATTTGCCTGGACTGGCCTCGAACTGCGAGCTTCCCATCTCAGCTTCACAAGTAGCCAGGATTACAGGTGTGAGCCAGTGGCATCAGGCCTTTTTTGCTTTCCGAGGAAATAAAGATTCATAGGGGGAAATTCTGAATATACCCACATTAAATATATAAGTCCTTTACTACATGTGTTAGAACAATATGAAGTTTTTATACCTCCAAAGTAGCCTCTAATTGTTGTAATTATAAAAAAGTAGTCCTGTTTCAGACTTTAAAAAACTCAAAAGATTCAGTTACAAATTATTGTATAGTTTTTTCTGTTTATAAGTGGCTGCACTGGCCAGGCAAGGTGACACAGCCTGCAATCCCAGTACTTGGGGAGGGGTACTGAGGTAGGAGGATTACAAGTTGGAGGCCAGCCTGGGCTATGTGGTGAGAGCATGTCTCAAAAAATAAAAAAGGCAGTTTATCTCTAATATAAAGTAAAATAAACTAGGTGATTTTAAGGATTTTTTTTTATGGTTCTGAGGATTGAATTCAGGGTCCTGGGTTTACTATTTACCATTGGAGCCACACACCCAGCCAAAATAGGTGATTTTACAGAGAAAGCACTAGTTTTTAAGAAGCAGAGTAACATGAAGCAAGAAGATAAGGCACGATAGTAAAGGGAGAGGGGGAGAAAAGGTCAGAGCTCCTTTTTTTTTAAGGTTTTAGAAACAGTAACTTTAGATACTCTTACCCAGGGACCCAGCCAGGAGTTTCTGCTATGTGTGTCTGAGTGACCATTGCTGGTGCAGGGGTATATGGACTCCCAATCAGAACACTTCCTGAACTGGTTAGTCTCTGTGGAGTGCTTATGATCTGTGAAATTAGGAACAAGAAAATAATACTGTTAACAATTAAGAAAAGACTATAGGCAGAAAGAATGTTGACTGCTAACCAACATATGAGCAAGAAACCTTGTTGTCATCTGAAATGTAAGTAATCCTCCTGAATCATTTATATGCTAGGATCTGAGACCACAGATGTCCTGATATTAACATGAGGTCATATTGCAGGTAAATAGCTTTTTAGAAGGATTAAGCTGGCAACTGACAATGTCTAAAAATCAGAAAAACAAAAAGCTTTATTTGAAATTAAGGAATCAAATTGCAGTAGACCTTGACCAGCTAAGTGAGCTCAAGACCCTGAGTTCAAACCCAGGCACCACCAAAAAAAGGGGCACAGAACTCACTAGTCATACCACATGTGACGTGATCTCAAGCATGCTGACTTTAGGTACAGACAGTTTAAGATGAAAAGCTCAGGGTAGAGTGCTCTAGCATGTGCAGGCCCTTATCCAGCCCTAACTCTACGAAATTATTATCATAAAGAACAATGAGAGTACTTGATTATTCTGTCTAGTCTACGCTCTTTTTTAGGAGTCTCCACAAAGCTACTCTAGCATGCCAACTCACTTTGGGAACACAGTCACTCACGTGTATGGTATTATTACCAAGGACTTACTTTTCTCTGTTAGTAGCAGTCCAGTGCTTAGTTTTACCTGATTTAAAGAGCTTTGTAGGAAAAAAAGGAAAAAGATGAAAGGAGGGCAGGAAATAGGACATATAGGAAAACTGGTTATCTTTATTGAAAAAGACTTTGGAAATGAATTGCTATGTTCTACTTTACTTTTCCTTCTGTTTTCTTCCTCAATGTCAGATTTTCAGGGGACATTCTTTGCTGATATGAGTGATTAACAACACTCTGCTCCTTTCTCTTAGCATAGGTACATGGCAATTTCTTAACAAACATTTCCCAAATGAGTAAACTAGAGGGATGATACACTTGAACTGGAAATCCAAGGTCAAAGTACACATGAGATGTACTGAGTCCTGAACTAGGATAATGTGGGTGAGCCTTAAGGAAAAAAACAGTAGCCAGAAATGGTGGCACGCCTGTAGCTCCAGCTACATGGGAGGCTGAGGCAGGAAGGAGGGGGAATGGAGAGAGACGGGAAGAGGGGGAAGGAGGGAAGAAGGAAGGGAGGGCTAAGACTTGCTGAACCATGGAACAATTTTGAAATCCCAAATAAAATTAGAGGTAAAAACATATTTCTAACATTCAATTGTTACAAGAAAAATGAGTTTTAAATTTCAGAGCCCCTTCTCTCCAAAAGCCCCAGACAACCTTAATTCAAATGTAGTCTTGTGGTTCCTCTGACAATCTATAGTTAGGCTATGGCAATGAGGTGGTAATTGAACAACATTCTAAGACTGGTCTCAAACATAGTCTATGTACTACTGCCCTCTACAGTCAGAAAAGCAGACAGCATATTATTCTGAAGGAAAAAGAACCTACATAAAGTATTATATTAATGGATTCCACTAATATGATAAAATTGTTTTTCCCTACAAGCATGTAGTTTTTAATCTTGTGAAATAAGACAGCCAGGAGATTATCTTATATATAATCTCCCTATGTGATAATGTATAAGAAAAAGGCAAGTATCCCAAGCAAAAACAGTTACTGCTAAATTACTTTCTATAACCAGTGAAACATTTGCCATGGGGCTATTTACTGTTTTAGTGTTTTGTGAGTATGTATTAGTTGTACAGGGGATTTTCTTCTGACATTTCCATATGTGTTCATAACATACCCTGGTTAGGTTCATCTTTATGGGGCCAGCAGCAGGCTGACAGGCAGACAGGGAGACAAAGAGGAGCTACTTGCTTCCCTTTCTTCTTTGAGATGTTAAGGAGCCGCAAGGATCCTTGGATGGGTGGAGAAATAATCACTAGGAAAGGGAAGTTCTAAAGCATTCTATTGTCTCTGATTTAGGGTGTGATTTGGAAGGTGACCCCTCCCTGGCAGCCATCTTAGGCACCCAGATCCATCATCTTCAACCAGGTATATTCCGCCCCATCTCCACTATAAAACTAAGAGGTGGGGACCACCATTTTGAATCCTTGCCCCCATTTCCTTCATGAGGAACAGGAAATGTTTCTCTTTTCCTCTCCCCCTCTCCCTTGTCTATACTTTATCCTGTAACACTAAAATAAATTCTTCCTAAAACTTTCACCTGTGAGACTCCTTGTGAGACACCTTGAAATTCTTTTCAATGTTTGTGGATCTCAAGGACCTGAGATTTTTACGTGGAAACAGGGAAGCTGTGGGAGCCCCTTATCTGTCCCCCTGTGACATAAACTGGAGAGGCAGCTAGGAGTTGAATCTCACAGGGTATAAAAGCATTTAGCTTTTGAACTTTTCTCTCCAATCTGACTTAGCCATGGTGGAAGTTTCTTTCACTTCTCCTTCTCCATGGTCTGCCCCTGTCTCCTGTCCTGGACTGGACACCTGGGAAAGGACAACAGAAGCAAAGATGGAAGAGGAGTAAGAGAAGGGAGAGAAGTCCTGCTCAAGTCCCACTGTTATTTTTCTCAGCCTCCTGAATGACTCACAGGGTCCTGGAGTTGAAAACAAAATCAATAGGGAATCTAAATGGCATGTGGCTGAGGTTGGATCTGCTTCTCTCCTGGATTGTCTTCCACCTAATGCTAAGTCTCTAAATCTGTCTGAACTCTCTACTAACAGTTAACCCCTTTAAGTCCTGCTTCCAAGATGGGACGTTTTTCCTATAGCAGACATGTCAAGACCAGGAGCGGGAACAGGTCATGTCCAGGTTGCTGCAGGTGGCAACCATGGGCTGCGCTGGCCCATTTGCTCTTCTGGCCAAGACACCACATGGTTATGGACCCACTCCCTCAGCCTCTGGCTGGTAGAGACCAGAGAGGGAATTTCAGTTTTCTGTCTAAGCTTTCCTTTATCTCCTAGAAATGCCCATGTGTTTAAAATTGGGACCTTAGTATTCCAGGTTATTACATTAGTTAAAAGGCAACAAGACAGCCCCTTTCTTGGGTTCTGTTATGGATTCAAAAGGCATTTGAGTTTTTATGACTATAAGGAGTTCCTTCCTTGAAATTAAGTCTTGATGGGCTAATTCATTCTACCTCTTCATGTTTACTAAGATAGCTAGATATCACCAGGTTCATTGGAAATGCAATCCCTTTTTTCTTGGATGACATGAAGGTTCTGATTTGAAAAACTAATTTTTGGTGTAAATCAAGAGAGAGGATTTGTTCATCCTGTATTCTTTTTCCGGAGGGAGATAGGATGCCAGCTTTCCACCCAAAACTAGGCTCCTTAAATTTTCTTTAAAAGGTTTAACGAATAACAAAAGTTGCTATAGCCCAAGGGAAACTGTTATTAGAGGTTATTTTAAAAGCACCCTCTAGGGATAAATCTGAAGTCTTAAAAGAGGTCATTTTAAGTTAAGATTCCCCTCTTTGATCCTAGTTGTTTGTCTCAATAAGGCCCTCATCTGTCCTCCAGTGACAAAAGCACCATCTGGTGAGGGCTTGGTCTCTAAGATGCCACCTTCTAGCTGTGTCCTCTCAGGTTAGAGCCCTCACAACCTAATTACTTTTCCAAAGGCCATGCCTCTTAATATCACCATAATGGAGATGAGGTTTCCACATGAATTTTGGAGGGGCACATTCACACCACAACACTATACCTCAGGCTCCCCCACCCCATTCATTTCTGTCTCACACACAGAAAGTGCTCACTCTAACCTAATAGCCCTATAAATCTTCACTTGTTCTAGCACTAACTCAAAGTCCAGTCTCCTCCAAATCTGATATGGGTTAGATTCAAACATGCAATTCATCCTGGGGCAAATTATCCTCCAACTGTGAACCTGTGAAGTCAAAGTGCTTCCAAAGAACAACAGTGGGATACATACATATACGTTTGGAAGGGAGAAATAGAAAAGAAGAAAGGGATTACTAGGTCTTCCACAAATGGCAAGCCCAACAAGATAAACCCCAAGTTTTAGGGCTTGAGGATAATTTTCTTTGACTTCAGTGTCCCACATTCTAGACACACTAGGACAGGGTTTGGGCCCTCAGGGTTTCTGAGGCCTCACTCCCAAGGTTTTGCTGAACATAGCCTATGGTGCAGTTCTTATGGTCTAGAGTCTCCTGCCTGGGGCTCTTCCAGTTGGAGTCGCAAGCCAGTGGCTCCACTAGTCTTGGGGTGGCCCCACTCCCATGGCTATATTAGACATTACCCAGTGCTCACAGTGGTCACATCCCTATAGCAGTTCCCTGCCTAGGTCCCGAGGCTCTCTAGGGACCCCTCTGAAGTCTAGGTGGAAACAGCCATGCCTCTACAGCCCGTGCACTCTGTGCCACATGCACAATACCAAGGTTTACCACCTGTGCCCTAGGCAGCAATGACTACTGTGGACTATACTGTATGTGGACCCACTAGAGCCAAACAAAATCAGATGAGGAATGCTATGCCAGAATTTGGAGGACCAGAGACGAGGCAGTGGCAGGCAGGGGTTGTTAAGGTCCCTTGAGGCCTGCTCCAAACCCCTCATTTTGTTGTTCTGCCCCCTGCCCCACCTTAGCACCTGGGGCATGTTATGGGAGGTGCCGTATTGCCTATGGTTTTACTCTTATATTATCTTGATGACTATCACCAGGTCTCCAGCATCCACACTAATCACCTTATCAAAAGGTCACTTGGCCACACCCTTTTCAGCATTTTCAGTCTTTAAAACACAGCCAGGTAGGTGAGGTGGTTCATACCCATAATTCCAACACTCAGGAGGCTGGGGCTGAGGCAGGAGAATCTTGAGTTCGAGGGCAGCCTGGCGTACAAAGCAAGACCATCTCAAAAAACTAAAAGGCTGGCTGGCTGGCAGAATGACTCAAGTGGTAGAGCCCCAGGTACCGCAAACCAAAAGGTTGAGAATTTTCCAAATCTTTAAATTCTGCTCCCCTTCTGATTATAAATTCCATTTATAATTCTTTTTCTCTCCTCTCAAAAATTATTATAAGCAGACAGGAAAAGCAATGACTTCTTTTCACTGTTCCTGAGCTCCTCCTTCCACAAAGCACTAGGACACAAATACACAATTTAGTCAAGTTCTTTGTCACTTTGTAACAAGGATTCACTTTCTTTCTGTTTCCAGTAACATGTTCCTCACTTCCAAATGAGACCTCATCAGAATGGCTTCACCAGTCACATTTCTACCAATAACCTGATCACACTGAGGCAGGATAGGTAGATGAAGAGACAGGGAAATTATATTTATTATTTTACTTTTTTCTTTTTGGTGATGGTACTGGGGTTTGAACCCAAGGCTTTGTGCAATCACACTACTTCACTTGAGCCATGCCCCCAGCGCTATTATTTTAAATAACTATTAAACAAACCAGACTCAAACATTAGAACCAGGAAGTAAAAACTGAAAGACCAGAACAGCTAGCTCCCTTCCCACCACCTTTTAGATGCTAAGTTACAAGCCTAAGGAGAAATAAAGGGGCCATCTGCACCTGCCTTCCCCTTTGAGATGTTAAGAAGCTGCAAACTCATGCACTAATGGGTAAAGAGACCAAACTCTGGCCAAGGGAAATCCTAAGATTCACCTATGGTCTCTATGTTCTGGCTAAGCCTCGATCACATCTCTGTGTTTTAGAATAAACGGTGCCCATCTTCGTCACCCAGATCTGCTGCCTAATGATTAGGGGTTGCTAGATACGTGACCACGTGTGTTCCCTCAGTTTCAAAGTATAAAAGAAGACCACAGATAAGAGTGTACCATTTCCATTTTTGAGTCTTAACTCACATTTCCTATGTGGAGGGCAGGAAATGTTTTTCGCTTCTTCTTCCTGTTTTACCTTGCTAAACTAAAATAAATCCTGCCAAACCTTCCACCTTATGTAATTCCTGGTTGTGAGACACCTTGACATACTTTTCTGGTGTGGATCAAGTACCTGTGATTTTGTGTGGAAGCTAGGACACTGAAGGAACCCCTCATCTGGTAACATCACTTAGGTAATCTCTAAAAAGACCGATACTTTCTCCCCACTGGCTTTTTCGGTCCAGTCCACTCATGGCAATGCCAGCCAATTTCTCTATAAACTCTTCCAACCTGTGTCCACTACCAAGTTTCAAAGCCAGTTCCATATTTTTAGGTGTTTGTCACAGCAGCACACTACTTCTCACTACCAATTTGTCTTGATCTGTTTGCTATAACAAAATACCTAATGAGGTCAATTTCAAACAATGGAAATTTATTTCTAAGAGTCCTGGGGGATGGGAAGAGCAAGGCACCAGCATGGTGAATGTCTGGTGAAGGCTCACTGTGCTTGGATGGCACCTTCTTGCTGTGTCCTCTTGTAGTAGAAGGGCTCCGGTGCTCCCTTTTTATCTTTTGGTGGAACTGAGGTTTGAAATCAGGGCTTCATGCTTGCAAAGCATGAGCTCTAGCACTTCAGCTATGCCTTCAGTTCATTTTGCTCTTGTTATTTTGGAGATGGAGTCTTACAAACTATTTCCCGGGCTGGCCTTGAACTATGAGCCTGATTTCAGTCTCCCAAGTAGCTAGGATAGCAGGCGTGAGCCACTGGCATCCAGTAGGGGTGCTCCCTAGAAGAGACTAATCCTCTTCAAGGCTACAGAGCTTTCACAATTTAACCATGTCCCAAAGGCCCCGCAATGGGGATTAGACTTCAATATGAATCTTGGAGGAACACATTCAATCACAGAACTGGGATTCTATTAACAGCTAGAAAACAAGAAAGTCTCATTACTTGCCCATGAACTTAGAACTGAAAAAAAGCACCTCAGAAGCAGGAAGACTAATGAAGGCCCTGGGCTGGTCAGGTTCACAGGAGAGCCCTGGTCTCCTCTCCCTGCCCTTTGTTTCCTGATCCTGAGTTATAGTAACTGAGTTAGTTGGCAGTATACACAACTACTCAGCACTGTGGAGGGAATGACATACACACTTGTTCACACTGACAGAGGGAAGAAAAGACATGCTTCCAAAAAAGGTTCAAATTTGAATTATAGTGACATCACTAAAATACTAACTTTAAAAAGTTTCTCCAAATATAGAAGTACTGTAAGGGTCATACTCATGAAAACTGGACTAGGATTAATTTTGTACTTATACAATCATATTTCAAATTACAGACTTTAGTCAGGTATCCTACTTCATTTGCGCCTACTGCAGTGGTGGGGGAGAGGCAAACGCTTACTAAATGTTTGAAAACAGACCCTGAGATGCCTTGAAATGGGACATTTATTTGAGTCTGTCTCTATGAGGTTTGGAGCTAGATTACATTCTTCACATACTTAAGAGTACATTGTGTTTTATCTTCAGCTTGACTTAACAGTCCTCAACTGGACAAAGAAAATGTCATGTCTAGATTGTCTTAAAGACTTTCTGAAACCAGCAATGTATTGAAAGATATTTTTGTCTAAGTAACACTGCACTTAACATAGTCCACCCACAGTGCTGTAAGATACGGGCAAGACCACCCTTACTACTCCATAGATGAAAAGACATAAACACTGCTCAGAAGAATTACTCTTACTTTTTTTTTTTTTTTAGTACTTGGGTTTGAACTCAGGGCCTATACCTTGAGCCACTCCATCAGCCCTATTTTTTTTTTCTTTTTTTTTTTTTGTGATAGGTTTTTTCAAGATCGGGTCTCAAGAACTATTTGCCCAGGCTGGCTTCGAACCACGATCCTCCCTGAAATCTGCCTCTTCAGTAGCTAGGATTACAGGCGTGAGCCACCAGCACCTAACAATTACTCTTGAAATGTATAAGTATTTTGCTTTTGGTGGGGGAGGTCATTTAAATAAATCAGGCACTGTTTTAGAGTTGAATGCAACTGTGTTTATAACTAAGGTTTTCGCAAAGTGCGATACACCTCAAGCTGTAGCAGAATTAATGAATGCCTTCAGAGAAACACCTTAATTCTGTTTTTCATTCATATTTTTTCTACTACTAAAGATTAAAATGAATTGGCATACTGAGTTTTTTTGTTGTTTTGTTATTGGGGGACTGGGTATGAATGCAGGACTTTGCTCTTGCAAAGCAGGTGCTCTATAGCTTGAGCCACACCTCCAGTCCATTTTACTCCTAGTTATTTTGGAGGCGGGGTCTAGTGAGCTGTTTGTCCTGGCTGGCCTTGAGCCATGATCCTTCTGATCTCAGTCTCCCAGAATATTGGGTTTCCCCCCCCACCCCATAGTTTGTATTTGTTTGTTCAGGGTTCTTTTTTGTTTGTTTGTTTTTGAGGACAGGGTCTTGCTATATAGTCCAGGCTGGTCTTGAATTTGGGATTCTCCTGCCTGAGGCTCCTAAGTGCTAGGGATTACATGTGTGTACCCTGACTCCAACTGCCTTTTAATGGATAGATTTCCAAATTAATAGCTCCAGTTATAGATTCAATTGGTGGGTCATACGTTCAATTTATATGAAAATATAAAAGGTTATTTTGTAAGGAAAAAAAGGAGGAAGATACAAAATGTAACAGATTTTAGGTTCATTGAAATACCTAAAACTAAGAGAAGCCTCACAAAGGGAGCAAAATCTTTAATATTACACACTGAGAATCTACAGATTCAAATATGAGAAAATAAACATCAAAGAACACAATGTCTTTTTCTTAAGAATGTTAATCAATTACACTCAGATTTAAAAAAATTTTATAAAGTGGCTAAAATAACTGAAATTAAGTGGAATACTTGATCAAGCATCTTCAGTATAATTGCCTTTTAAATTAGTTTCAACTAAGCAAGGTTTCAATTATAACACTTGATGATTTTCTTACCATTTGGGGTCCAACATTCACATTTATTGGTCCTAAGGTTTTTGGTAAAATCTTTGTTGGTGAGTTGGTGCTGGAAACTGGAAATGCAACAAGTGAAATGTTACCTGAAATGATATCGAAAGATTAAGTCAGCGTTCTGCAAGATCAAGTCCACCTTCTACCTACATACATCCATGGTCCTAACCCATTTTGCAAAAGCAATTTATAATTAGCTCAAGAGGCAGATTATAAGCAAGAAGACTTACTGAAAACTACATTAACTGCATTGTTGGTGAATGCAATTAGTGCTGAAAAATCATATTTATATTTTATGGAAAACCTATCAAAGAAACAGCTCCAGCTTATTTGACTTTTAGTTGATATTTTAGAGAAAAGTACTTGGGGGATTCATAAAAGCAAATCATAGTTTACATCCAAGTTGAGAAACAGATCTTTAACAGATGGCATGGAACGTAAAAAGTATGAGGTGTAATGTGAAAAGTAGAAAAATATTTGAATTTTCATTATACTATAAAGTATCTATACTAAAAGCTCATATATTTTCAAAATGTCCGATTGGCCGGATTTCTAGCCTCTTATAATAGTTTTGTCTGTGTCTTGTTTGGTGATGCTGGGGTCAAAACCCTGGCTCTGCACATGCCAGGCAATGCTCCACAGCTGAGCTGCCCCTCTGCTCTAATGTGTGAATTAGTTACTGATGGTGGGAATGGTTGGATCTGAACAGTGTTTTTCCACGCTTTAAATTTCAAATTAACATAGCAAAATGGCAAAATGAACAAAGACCTCTCCCTAAAATGAAAAAACAGTCAATTTTTTCTAAACTACAATATCAACTGAACTCCTCTGGACAAACTCTAGCTTCTTAGTGTTTCTCTAAGAAAGTGTGAGTATAACCAAAGAAAAAGACATTGCCCAGGAAAGAATGCCAAACTTGAAACTCTGGGGAAAACCAGCAATTAAGACCAGGCTAGTCAGGTGCAGTGGTGCACACTGTAATCCCAGCACTCAGGAGGCTGAGGCAGGAGGATGGAGTGTTCAAGGCAGATTGGGCTGCATAGCAAGACCCTGTCTCAAAAACCAACATAAACAGGCAAAAGCATGCTAGAACAGCAGCTCCTCTCAGTCTCCTTCCTCAGATGGCTGGCTCCTTACTCTACCAAAGCCTGGCCACATTCTACTCTTTAATCCTTTCCTCTTACTCTTCATTCTCTACAGAGAGCTGTGTAGCCCCTACAGAGAGAAAATCAGGCCACCGGGCAAAAACTGCAGCTCACCCTCCCTAAACTGTGAATTTGTTTGCACCCTCATTTATTTTGTTACCCTCTCAGAATGGAAATGTGTTTCATTCTCATAAATGACTTCTTTCATCATCTGCTCTGTGTGTTCCATCCCTTCAGAGATCTCGCCCACACTGACCTACTGAATCTTCTACCATTCCATTGGCTCTTCCCTCAGTCTCTCTCCCATTTGGCATTATGGGTGCCTCCCTTTAACTTTATCATTTCATGTCTACTCGAAGCCAAGTACTCAAATCTGCTTCTCCTTCATGGTCTTGCTATTGATACTGACTGAGCCTGGGCATATGATCATATCGACATTGTGACCCAATCCAGAATAATCCATATCCAACCACTTTCTCAAATGACCCTGTGTTCTGCTTTTACGCTGGGTCTTTTATGATACTGCACTTGTTTAATGTGGAGCCTTACAGAATCCGGTTTGAATTTAGTTACCCTCTAACCCAGGAGGTCACAATCCTGGCTGTGTAGTGGAATTCCCAGGGAAGCAATGAACAATGCCAATGCCTGGGTTCTGAGGTAAACTTGAACATGAGACCAGTAAAATTCATCAGGTGGTTCCAAGGTAGAGTCAGGGCTGAGCACTACTGCTCTTTCTGGAGGTCCTACCTCAAACAGTTTCCTCGCCCTCTCTGTGGAAGGGAGGGTGGGGGCAGGAAGGGAGAAAATAACCCAACTTTATGCAACAATATAATAAAATAAAAAATGTACATCCCTTCTGTACTGCTCTATTAGAATCCCATTTAGTTCTTTCTTCTTTTCTTTTTTCGCAGCTAAGTTACCACCAATTACTATCCCGCAGTTATTCTGGAACATTACATATATACCACACCAGATCAAAACCTTACGTCTTTCATCTTTAAAGACCCAGTCTCTCTTATTCAAATAACGTCTCATACTAGGCAACCTGTTCTCACGTAGCTACCGTAGGGACAAATATAGCTTAAATTTCACACGCCTTAAGTTCCTTATCCAAAATTACACCTGTATATCCTTCCTTATATACTAGCAATGTTTAAAAAATTATTAACATTCAGTTTTGCTGGGTTACAGTATAATGAGTAATGCCCTTTACATGAAGCTTCTTTTACAACAACTTGGCAAAATCAAATATATCCAAGAAATACTTCATGAGACTCACCACTCATTTCCGACTGCAACGTCTCCAACTCCTCCTCCTTCCCCCAACAGTCCTGAGGAGAACTACGATCCAACAGCTATTATCCTGCCTCCTTTCTCCCAGCTTCATCTTTAGCTACTCCTTGCACTCCAATCAGATTAAACACTTTACAATCCACACTGGCCCCAATTCAACTAACTTTGGTGCCTTTAGGGCAATATAGCCTTCCTACTTTATTCGGAAGACCCTTCTGTGCTGGGCCAACTCCTGCTACTGGCACTTCAAAGAGGAGGTGCAGCTGGCCCTTGGAGGGGAGTGGTTCCAGGACATTCCCTCCCCAGGAATATAAAAAAATCTGTGGATGCACAAGTCCCTCACCTGAAATGCACCTGCATTAATCTACAGATCTTCTCCTGTGTACTTTAAATAACCTCTCGATTATTTATTAGAACTCACACAATGTAAATGGTATGTAAATACTTGCTAGACTGCATTGCTTAGAGAATAATGGCAAGAAAGTGTGCATGTTCCATACAGAACAAGGTTTTAAAGTATTTTCAATTTGTGGTTGGTTGACCTGTAGGTTACTGAGCAGCTAAGGGCATCAGTCATAATCGTTCCTCTAAGCAGTTACTATGGTGCTATAGCTTGTTCCCGTATATGCTTCTATCATATCACATACATGTTCAAAATCTCATCAGCGCTTAAAAAAGTGAAAGCAGACTGTATACCTGAAAACGCAAGGTTGAGTGAAACAGCTAGTGACAGAGCTGCGCCTCGGCATCTCTACTCTTATACTCCCCTTTGAAGAGCTGTCCCCCAGCCTCTACCCTGGCTTCTCATAAACCTGCTATTATGTACTGCTTGTTCTACTGCAAGTGGGCTGTGTCTCCAGCTTTGTATGCAGCACCTAGGTGAGTCCTCGAACAAAACAGATATACACAGCTAGAAAAAACTGTTTGACTTACTCTCTTTCCAACCTGGGTGCCAGACTGAAATACAGCCTCAATTATACCCGTGTTTATTTTTTCAACAGAATCATAACTCATACTGAGTTCAAAATCAATTTAAACAAAAGAACGTTTACTTTTAAAATTGGCTGAATAACTGGTAAAATCAATTTCCCTACCTTGCAACTATACAACAGATTTTTTTTTTCATGAAATGCTTACCTTATCCATCACTAAAGACTAAGGATGTTATTAAAATCCTCCAAATATGGTTATTCACCTGTTGAATAATCCACTTACATGAAGAAAAACAATCTCTGATTCTAGTGTAGCAGTGACAGAATCAATAGACATGAGCCACCAGTTCAGTCCCAGGCAGAAGAGGAAGCTCACCCCACAGATCCATGGAAGAACACCGCCCTCACCACTGGTTTTCAAAAATGACCTTACTGCTACTGAATGTTTATGATGAGGTCCTCTGCTATGTTAGCAGCAAAAGTAAAACTTGCAAAAACAGAAAAGCAAGAAACACACAAACACAGCACACAAATGAAGGTAAAGTAAGTTTGCTCCTAATTTTAAACCTAATTCTAAAGGAAAAGTGAGACTATAAAATTTTAGCTAGAATAAAAAGAAAAGTATTAAATCCAGAACTGAAAAAGAAAAGCACTAACCCAGTTAATATTCAAAGAATTTAGAGGAAACTAAATAAATTTGATCAATTGATTCTAAAGTACATGTAGAAGTGGAAAGGCAGAGCGCAGACAACAATTGTTTAGAGTCATAAGGAAGAGGGGAACTTTAGCTTACCAAAGTATCACAAAGTAACAGTAATGGAACAACCTGGTATTCACAAAGCCACAAATAAAGAAACTGACAAAACAGAAATTGAAGTCCAGAGATTACTTCATGATATAAAAGCTGACCACAAAGTATTAGAAAAAGATATAAATATTTTTCTAATTTGGGAATAAGGATGTCCCTTTTAATCATGTTACAGAATTTTAAAATATTAAGTGAGCCAGACGCCAGGGGCTCACACTTGTAACCCAGTTACTCAGGAGGCAGATATCAGAAGGATTGCAGTTCAAAAGCCAGCCCAGAAAAATAGTTCACAGCCCTATCTAGAAAAGACCCAACACAAAACAAGGCTGGAAGAGTGGCTCAAGTGGTAGAGCGCCTGGCTAGCAAGCTTGAGGCCCTGAGTTCAAACCCCAGTACTGCCAAGCAAAAACAAAAAAACCCTGAACTTTCCTATATAGTAGAGACCCAAATTATTTGAAAGTCAAACATCAGACTAGTAAGCAAATTTGTAGTACACAGGTCATGGATTTCTATCCTTAAAATTTTTTTTATTTCCTTACATCTACTTATAAATCAGTAAGACAATATCCAATGTTAAACATACCCAATACATGAAGAGATATAAATGCCAGTGATTACATGAAAACATGCTTGATTTTACTCAAAAGTTCACATTTCAAAAAGTTACAAACATCCAGTCACTTGCAACTTCAGTCTGGTTAAGAGAAGAGAGCCAAACCAAATGCAAACAGCTTTTCTTAAGAACTTGGCACTAACTCAGGGCTCAGGCAACAGCAGCCTCCAGAAGCTGTCCAGAAGCTAATTCCTGGCACTCAGTGTATTTATCAAAACCAAAATTTTCAAGATGCTTAGAGTTTGGTTCTGACAATTCCCTTACTTAACTGGTGAGAGGCTAGAAACAAGTGAAAAAAAATCCAATCTTGGCACAAGCAGACAATTGGGCTGAAATTCCATTTTCAAGTTTGTTTGTTTTTGAGACAGGGTCTCCTCAAGTAGCTCGGGTTCGTCTTGAACTCACAAGCCTCCTGGAGTCCTGGGATTACAGGTATGACCCGCCACACGTGGGTCTATTTCAATTTCTTGAGTAACAACCATCTTCTGATTTCCACTACCATTGTCTGGATATCAAAAGATTTCTTGCAAGTCTTTAAAAGTTTTCTAGTTAAATGCCTTCAAAAGGTCAAGTAAGATGAAAAATTCAGACAAGTAACTGTGATTTTACCTGACATTGTATAATTCTTCCCACAGGACTGACTTTCTGAAAAGAAAAAAAAAAAAAAAAATTTTTTTTTTTTTGGCCTGAAAATTAGCTTTAAGAAAAACCTTCTTTACACAAGTCTTGATCATTTCTTCTGGGAAGAATCCAATTAGTAATGGACTGTAAGAAAAAGGCACTTTTAGTACATGTTGATAGCTCTCTCACACCAAAAGCAGTGTCCATCCGTGTGCACAGGCTCCAGTATCATGGACAAGCTAACCTACAGACCTAAATAAAAGTTAAAAATAGGGCTGGTGAAGTACCTCCACTGGTAAGAGCGCCTGCCTGCAAGCATGAAGCCCTGAGTTCAAACCCCAGGGCGGCCAAAAAAATAAATATAAAAGCTAAAAATGACCTGTACTATGCTGGTTTGTGGAGCTCCCAGAATAGTGGGCTTTAATTCTATTGTTCATAAATGATATCTTAATACAAAAATGATGGGGAAAGGGATAGGCAAATTCATACTTATTAGTAAGGTGCTAATTATAGATTATATGCTCTCTTGGCTTTTCCTCTTCTGTTACCTCAACTGGCACTTTTTAAACACTTCTATATAAAATTTTTAGATATGCTGATATGATGATAAAACCACAAAAAGAGCAGAAGAAGGATTAGGGTAAGTCCTTCAGAGGGAGTTGGGAGTACCAGGCAGAAGGAATACATGGTGAGTTCTAGAGCAGTGAAAATGGTCCACTTAGCCTAATTAACTGGCACTTCTAAATTTTATTATTATTTTTTATTTTGGCTACGTTGGTTTGATCTTAGGGCTTTGCACTTGCTAGGTAAGTGCTCTACCACCTGAGCCATGCCTCCAGCCCTTCTTGCTTTAGGTTATTTTTCAGACAAGGTCTGAAACTGAGATGCCTTTCTGTAGCTGGAATTATAGCCGTGAACTACCATATTCAGATTTTTGGTTGAAATGAGGGTCAGAAGTACCTCTTTTGCTGAGATTGGCCTTGAACAGTGCTCTCCTGATCCCAACTAGTGAGACTTTTTAAAAATCAGACAGTTCATGTACTTGTCTAAATTACAGTTACCCCTCTGTCTTAAAAGTCTCCTGCATTGTTACAATCTCTCTCCTGGATCACTCTTCATCAGCACACATACAAGTCTTATTCCATCTTCACAACAGAAAAGCAGGCCTGGTCCCTACCCACTCCTTCCCATTGTCTCTCTCTACAGACAGCCAACCAATTCCCTGAAGCTGGTGGCATTGCTTATGTCCTCCTTGCCTGTAACCCAGCTAAAAAGCCTGGTTAAGACCACCTCCATGGCTGAATCAAGGTCTAGTCTCAACCTCCCATGCCTTTTAACCTCCCAGGCCATCCACATTTCTGACCCCTCTCCTTTGGATTGCTTCCTTCACTTGGCACCCCAGCCACCACTCCTTGCCCACCATGCTCTGAGCTTCTCAGTCCTGGCTGCCGGCTCTCCTCTCTGCACTCCAGGAGCCCCTCACCTCAGTCCTCCATCCTCCTCTCTGGCAATCCTTCCTCGCTGGCTGCAACCAGCTAAGCCTTGGTTTAAATACTCTCAAATTCGTGTTGCATCTCCCTGATTAAACTTCACTCCTCCATTTTAGATTCAAATGGCCAACTGTCTCCTCCAATTTCCATTTAGATGTCAAAATGGAAACAAACGTAACAAATCCAAAGTCTGCCTCCTGAGTACCCACTCCACCAGAAACTGCTTTCTCCCATTTCTCTCTTCACCTCAGTAAATGTCAGAAAGGTCACTGTGATGCCCCCCATTCAATTCATTAACAAGTTCTATGGCTGGACCTTCAAGCTGTACCTTGAACACCACCCTCCTCATGCCCTCTACTGCGTCCCTCTCTCCCAGTCATCATCTCTGGCATGAATTACTGTGATACGGTCCTGATTCATCTTCTTGCTTCTAGTTCCATGCTACTCCAGTATTCATTAGACACACGTGTGTGTGCACGTTGGTACTGGGATTGAATTCAGGGCTGCACTCCACCGCTGAGTCACATCAGTGCTTTTGCTTTTAGTTTGTTTTCAGATAGGGAAACAAGATGGCCTCTGGCTGGCCTCGACTTCTGCCTCCAGAGTAGCTGAGCCCATGGGGGTGCACCACCATGTCCAGCCAAATGTGGGTACTGAACACTTGAAATTTTAAATGGAGAGCTAAAATGTTAAGCCTACTTAATTTTAATGAATTTAAGTTTAAAAGATAAAGCAATGTAATGTATTTTCCTGTTAAGCACGTTTGTTGCGGTGATACTACTTCACGGATGAAAATTCAGGTACCTAAACATCTTGAGATGGCGCTGACTGTAAGACACAAGTACAAAAATCCACAACTATATAAAAGCATAACTAACATTAACAACAGCATTAATGCGTAATGATATTATTGTTTATATTGATTGCATGCTGAATGATAATGTTTTAGAAAAAATGTTTTGGTAAATGTTTGGATGATGTTTTGCCTAAATGTTTGGATTAAACAGAATCTATATTTAAAATTAATTTTTACTTGTTTCTTTCTGCTTTGTAAAACGTGGCTACTAGAAAACTCTGAGTTAGCAAGTAGCTCATGTTACCTGCTAACCAGCACTGGCCCGCCTCCACACAGTGGTCAAGAGGGCTCCTGCCCTGTGGAGTGGTCCTTTCCAAAGCTCTGCAGTTGGTGGTGGCACCTTGGTCAATGGAACTCCTCAGGATGGCTTACAGAGCCCTGTCACCGCACCCCTTTTCTAACCCTAGGTCTTCCAGCTTCTCAAAGGTGCCATGTTCTTCCTGTGTCAGCCCTTCCAGATTTGCATTTCTCCGTAGCACGCATCTCTGTAAGACGCATTCAGATGTACTACTTGTATAATTATCACCTGTGTACAGTCCAGCCACTCCCAGAATGAGTAATTTCACAAGGTCAAGGCCTTTGTCACCTCATCCACTACAGTGTCTCCAGCTCCTAGTGCCATGCCAAGCACACAACAGAGTGCAATATTCAGTTTTAGATTGATTAAAGAAAACACGAACATCTGCATGTTAGGACATGATCCAAATGCACGAAATAAGAATGTGCAGTGAAAACTAGATCTCCTCATATTCCATCACCACTTAGTTCTTTCCCAACTGACAGCTACTGGTGCCAGTTTGTATAGAACCTTCCAGAAATATTCCAGGTACATACAAACATACATGCAAAAAAATCCTGTTCTCTGTACACATGGTCGAATACTGTATCTATTTGCATGTTCCTTCTGAACTTAATAATAGTGTCTATCAGCTTAGATGTCTTTCCATCTCTCTCTCTACACAGTGCTGCCTCAGTATTGTGTTAGCTAGACAGCACCCCCTTTCATGGCTCTAGTAGTTTACTTATTGAGCCCCTCAGTAAAAGAAGAGAAATCTTGTAGGATTACAACTATTGGTGAAACCACTACACATGCCTTTACACACACGAGTCGTATCAAGTAGTTGCACCAATTACTTTTCTTATGTTAAATAATAGTATGGTTATCACATTTTGGTTTTTAATTTATTGTTAGGAATAAGGCTGAATAGCCATTGCTTAAAAGTCATCTAAGCCTGTGGAGGTGCATGCCTGCAATCCCAGCTACTCAGGAAGCTGAGGTAAGAGGATTGCAAGTTGAGCCCAGCCTGGTCAAAGTTAGCAAGACCCTTCTAAAAACAAACACAAAAACAAAAGGGGCAGGAGTACAGCTCAAGTGGTTGAGCACTGCAAGTACAAGGCCCTGTGTTTCAATCCTCAATACGGGGGGAATAACACATAGACAGGATGGGACACACTAACAAAAATAAAAATAAGTCATCTAATTGTCCTTCCTGAGAATTCTGACAAACAGTCTATTTGGCTGTTCAAATAGTTAAAGAGTAAATTTAGTCTGTTATACCTGCTGCAAATATTTTTCCCAATTTGATAGTTTTTGCTTTTATATAATCTTTGCGTTTTTTTTAGAATGTGATCAGTTTTATAAATCTTTCATTAGGACCTTTGTGTCAAGCTTTAAAATGTCTGTGTGAGGCTAGCAGAGTGGCTCAAGTGGTAGAGAGCTTAACAGGCAAAAGGCCACGAATTCAAATCCTAGAACCAAAAAAAAAAAAACAAAAAACCTGTATGTTAAATACAAAAGTGCAGGAGATCAGAGTCACCTCAGTGTTTACTTATTTGCTTTTGTTCACCAATCTGGAAGGGCACATTATGCTTCGGCATGCTATACTTATCTTACAGACTGTGTATTTCTAGTTGGATATGCTTTCTTATAAATTAATTATCATTAGTATATATACTAAGATTTATTAAGTGCCCACATGTAGTCTTATAAAATTTTATTTATTTATTTTTGGTGCTTGGTAAGCTATATTCCCAGCCTTAAAATTTTAAAGCCTTGGGTCATTTGGAGTTTATCTGATAAAAGAAATGAAAAATCCAAGGTGTTCCCCTCCCACACCATTGGTCACTTTTAATGAATAATTCACTTCCCTTCCCTATCCTGATATGAAATGCTTCTTTAAGTTTACTTCAGGTCAATTTATTGATTCTTTTACTGCAGTCCACTGATCTGCCTATTTCCTGTTCCAGTGCTATGAATTTATTTCATTTACTATTAACGCTTCCATAAAGAATATGCAGAGTCAGAAAAGAGTCAAGAGCTTTCCCTCCTAGTCCTACCTTTTAGCCACTATTTGTTAATAACTGCTGTGAAGACTAGCAATTAGTTCCAAATACAGTACTGAGGAAGTCAAGTAGCAGTTCAATTCTGGAAACAGGCCACTTGTTTGCAAAGAGAAAACAGTCCACAGTCTTAAGACTGTACGTCTAATTTCAGCCAGCTATCTAGAAAACAGGTCACTGAAAACTAAGTAAACTGGGGAGAAAGGGCACAAATAGCTGTGGGACACCTATTACCTTTGTGTAACTCAGGCCCCAGAGCTCAGCAACACTATCTTCATAAATGACACACATGTGAATGACTCAAGATTAACTTGGGAAGACAGCGTGTGGAACTGGAC